GATAAAACCTTTCTTCAATTATAAGTCATACCCGTCCCTATAGCCCAATAAACTAAGTAAAGTCCTCGGAACATGCAGCTCTACACATGCTGCAGTTACAGCCAAAGGTCATCACAGCCAAAGGTCATCACAGCCAATCAACAAACCTAAAATTGGGGAATTTTCCTTTGTTCCTCAGGTTTTAAAACTTTTCATGTCTTATGTGTGTATATCCATATTTATTTCAATTAATTAGTTCCTGAGTAAAGCAACATAAACTGTTGATTTAAATATATGTAACAAAAATATTAAGCCACTAGTATAAAATTCATAATAATTAATTGATAACAAAATGATGTCTGTGGTTGGGAATACAGAACTAAGTCTTGTAATTAACTTAATCTTTAGAAATCTGCCCTGTGTCTCATTACCATGAATATGAAATATGAATCAAACTTCGACATTGTCACATTTTATTGAAGTAATCTTCATGTGCTATGTGACATATTTTCACCCTTTCCCTCTTTTGATTTCTGACCAAAGGTCTGTCCAAACTTTCTCAAGTTTTTACAATAGGATAACAATGCCCTTTTTTCCACAATATCTCCCAGGATTAAGCGATGTACAAACACTAATACTGTAACCGGAATACAATAAAAAGAAGCCAGACCAGTTACAGCATACTTACTTTTTCTTTAAATGCCATTGTGTAACTAACAAATTTTTAAAGAACCTGAATCTTTATTATACATTCCTAAATATGACCTAATGGACCATGCTTGTAACAAGTCTGAAATCCATCTCAATACTACACAGATTGTTTTTAAAACATCACTGATGAAACAAAAAAAAGCAGCAAAGTTTTCAACATGAAGATATTTTCCAACATGGTTTGATACCTCCTTAAGTGGTTATTATCCCAGAATTTTAACCTATATACATGGTTTGGTTTGACCTCACATTTAACATTGTCACATGTAATTTAAGCAGAAATAGCACTAATTTAACATCCCCAGTCATCCTCATAATATAGCAATGATTGCATGTTAAAACCTTTCATTCCTAAACCCACCATTCTACAATCATTTTTGTTGGTCTGTCTGTAACCTAACACTGACTATGGTAAATGATAACTCACCATTCCACAATCATTTTTGTTGGTCTATTGGTAACCTAACACTGACTATGGTGAATCAAAACTCACCATTCTACAATCATTTTTGTTGGTCTATTGGTAACCTAACACTGACTATGGTAAATCAAAACTCACCATTCTACAATCATTTTTGTTGGTCTGTCTGTAACCTAACACTGACTATGGTAAATCAAAACTCACCATTCTACAATCATTTTTGTTGGTCTATTGGTAACCTAACACTGACTATGGTAAATCAAAACTCACCATTCTACAATCATTTTTGTTGGTCTGTCTGTAACCTAACACTGACTATGGTAAATGATAACTCACCATTCTACAATCATTTTTGTTGGTCTATTGGTAACCTAACACTGACTATGGTAAATCAAAACTCACCATTCTACAATCATTTTTGTTGGTCTATTGGTAACCTAACACTGACTATGGTAAATGATAACTCACCATTCTACAATCATTTTTGTTGGTCTATTGGTAACCTAACACTGACTATGGTAAATCAAAACTCACCATTCCACAATCATTTTTGTTGGTCTATTGGTAACCTAACACTGACTATGGTAAATGATAACTCACCATTCTACAATCATTTTTGTTGGTCTATTGGTAACCTAACACTGACTATGGTAAATCAAAACTCACCATTCTACAATCATTTTTGTTGGTCTATTGGTAACCTAACACTGACTATGGTAAATCAAAACTCACCATTCTACTATCATTTTTGTTGGTCTGTTGGTAACCTAACACTGACTATGGTAAATCAAAACTCACCATTCTACAATCATTTTTGTTGGTCTATTGGTAACCTAACACTGACTATGGTAAATCAAAACTCACCATTCTACAATCATTTTTGTTGGTCTATTGGTAACCTAACACTGACTATGGTAAATCAAAACTCACCATTCTACAATCATTTTTGTTGGTCTATTGGTAACCTAACACTGACTATGGTAAATGATAACTCACCATTCCACAATCATTTTTGTTGGTCTATTGGTAACCTAACACTGACTATGGTAAATGATAACCCACCATTCTACAATCATTTTTGTTGGTCTATTGGTAACCTAACACTGACTATGGTAAATGATAACTCACCATTCTACAATCATTTTTGTTGGTCTGTCTGTAACCTAACACTGACTATGGTAAATGATAACCCACCATTCTACAATCATTTTTGTTGGTCTATTGGTAACCTAACACTGACTATGGTAAATCAAAACTCACCATTCTACAATCATTTTTGTTGGTCTATTGGTAACCTAACACTGACTATGGTAAATCAAAACTCACCATTCTACTATCATTTTTGTTGGTCTGTCTGTAACCTAACACTGACTATGGTAAATGATAACTCACCATTCTACAATCATTTTTGTTGGTCTGTCTGTAACCTAACACTGACTATGGTGAATCATAACTCACCATTCCACAATCATTTTTGTTGGTCTATTGGTAACCTAACACTGACTATGGTAAATGATAACTCACCATTCTACAATCATTTTTGTTGGTCTATTGGTAACCTAACACTGACTATGGTAAATGATAACCCACCATTCTACAATCATTTTTGTTGGTCTATTGGTAACCTAACACTGACTATGGTAAATCAAAACTCACCATTCTACAATCATTTTTGTTGGTCTATTGGTAACCTAACACTGACTATGGTAAATCAAAACTCACCATTCTACTATCATTTTTGTTGGTCTGTCTGTAACCTAACACTGACTATGGTAAATGATAACTCACCATTCTACAATCATTTTTGTTGGTCTATTGGTAACCTAACACTGACTATGGTAAATGATAACTCACCATTCCACAATCATTTTTGTTGGTCTATTGGTAACCTAACACTGACTATGGTAAATCAAAACTCACCATTCTACAATCATTTTTGTTGGTCTGTCTGTAACCTAACACTGACTATGGTAAATGATAACTCACCATTCTACAATCATTTTTGTTGGTCTATTGGTAACCTAACACTGACTATGGTAAATCAAAACTCACCATTCTACAATCATTTTTGTTGGTCTATTGGTAACCTAACACTGACTATGGTAAATCAAAATGTTTTATTTATAGTTTGTATAGGACTTCTCGCCTTTACAGGATAAATATTATCACCACAGCAATCTGTACTATACCTCCAAGTCCATGCTGGAGTATGGCTTTGAGGTTATAATCCCTTTTTCCAATGAAACACCACACTCTTATGGCTGAAGTGTACATACACATGTAACACCATGCTATAATGGGTTTGGTAATAAATATCATTAATGGACAAAAAACTGCAGGAAAAGTTTACTGCAGAAACCCCTGGTATAAATTCTGACTGAACTCTCCTCCTACTGTGCATAAATTGACCTAAATATTGAACAGCCATTATAATTCTAGAAAGTTAATGCGGTACTTAGTTCACCTTAATTAAGATTCAAGTAATTAAAATTTTTTATGTTCTATGTTTCAAGTGATTTTTCAGCAAAGTGTTATATATTAAGATACTAGTCATTGTCAGTTTAAATGCAGAAAATACTTGCAAATTAAGCCTTCTATGCTTAAATGGAGGTAGTACCTGTTTGTAGCCTAAATTTAATGGCAAACATTTTCTTTTATAGAAAAACTCTGCATTGTCTTTAACTTCAACAATCAAACGGAAAAAGCAACTTAAAAGTCATGTCAATTAAAACTATCTATCTAAACAGGTCAAAACCGATTTAAAAAACTATAAGTAAAAAAAACAGAACAACCCCTAAGGTAAATGATATCTCAATCAGATCACCAAGCTATCGTTTTGTTTATCTGTTCAAAAGTAAAAACATTTTAGGCTATATCAAAATATATTTACCGATGAAAATTTAACCTTGACGATATAAATTGGACCAATATAAATTATGATTGTGTGCGTGCATGTGTGTGCGCGAGTATGTGTATGCGTGTGTGTATGCGTGTGTGTGTGTGTGCGTGTGAGTATGTGTGTGTGTGCGTGTGTGCGAATGTGTGAAAAGTTATCTAAATTGAGTACCACTACCTGTGTTGATAAAACAATTTCAAAATACTTGTGATATCACAATATCAAGTCTCTTTGACAGTCCTAACTCTTTGGAGGGGCAATGATTTCTCTACCTGACAGATGTTCATACAAACTTACACTACAAGTCATAAACAAGACGACAAAATGTGTTCAAAAAGAGAAAAGTAATGATATATATTGTATGAAACCATTATTTAAATACGCTAGACTGGTTCCGATACAATATTCATTCACACATCTATTAGTATTAATTAACGACAATTGGTTATGATATCAATGTCATTTACATTCTGTGGAGAATGCAGGGTTTCCTGTTATTATTTGCCATAACACGGTTAATAACTTGGTTACGATGTACAACGTATACCGTTCACGGTATATCACTGACAATATGTAAATTTTGTAACACTGTCGCTTCATTCAATTTGTTTTACAAAGAACTCCTGAACTATCTAAGTATCCGTAACATGTACTATACATATTAAGGTAGGTTGTGTCAGTACGAAGAACTCTTCACCAACACCTACAGAATGGTAAAACTTATGTCTGTGACATATTAGGGTTCAATATTTTCGCGCTGTTCCTCCTACTTTGGAGCGAGAATAATAGGACGTAAAATGTTATGTGAACTTGCCAATTGGAACTTTAGCACGTCATCTACATACAAAATGTGTGTATCTGTTATGAGAATATATTTATCTAAATTAAAGCTAACCCCATAGCTTATGGTATCTCGCTCAGGTTATAAAAGTTCGGGACGTCCCAAACTAAGAGAGGTCGGAACACCTCGGTTTTTATCATAAAGAACCTTACCTTGGAGCATTTGCTCCAACTTTTTCCTGTCAACACGGAATCGATCCTCGATATATCCCGGTTCCAGTTCATCCTTACTTCCTTGCAGACAATCGTCACATAATTCCGTGGGAGACTCGCTCAAGTTATTAGAATCTCTCATGTTTATCGGGCGCACTGGCACCGACAACCTGTCCGCCATGGCATTCTGTTGTTATTACAAGAGCGAGGCTTCAGAACTGGGTCACGTCAGTACACACACTAAGGCCAAGCCAATCAGAATATGGTGTTCATCAGTAAGTGCAGTTCGTCGGTCAAAAGGTACACCTGCATAATTCATTATTGACTTGCTTTGCTTTTGATATCCGTGCCTTGAATAAAGGAATGAGCAAAAGATTTTTTTTTTTCATTTTTTTGGCTTCATGGAAGTATGAATTGAGATCATGATTAAGAATGACAATGGACAATGTTATAAACAGTAATATGAGAAAATGCTGAACTTCTATTTGATTTTACGAGCTCAAAAATGCATAGCAACCAAATACAAAATTGATGTTCCGATATATCTAACTTTTAAAAGTCTTTCTCTGTTAATGTGTGATTATTAAGGAGTGTCCGTTTTCATCATTTAAAACGTATCGCTGATTCTTTTACTTTATCATTTATTTGTTGCAACTTTCACTCAAAAATTCCATAGATCCAACATAAAGTTTATCAAACCCCGTTAAAAATTACTGTCGTGTTAAAAAAAACTAAAAAATGGAAAGCGATCCACTCAGATTAACGTAATAAATTGTGTTATATTTAACAAAAATTTACAAAACACATAAAGCGCTCAATTTTACTTTATACGTATAACAAGAAATATTGAAGTTTATAGACGAGAGGCCCATTGGCTATACATTTCTCGCCTGGTTTTTCAACACTTTTTACAATTAATTCTACATGTGTGTATAATTACATTTCACACTTGTATTGTTGACTTTCCAAGCTAAGTGAATACAAATCATTGATTTAAACTAATACGAGAATACAATCATGCTTATAGCACCCAAGGCTAAACCTCACTTTACCTCCGTGACCTTATAAATATAGGTCAACATCACCGGCATAAACCATGTCTAGCTTCCTCACGGGAACATTTAAAATAAATAACCACAAATCTAAATGTTTTTGGTTATTAAATCAAAAGGTTGTTAGAGTGTTTTAACATGTTTACAACAAATTACACTTTTGTCACCAGGAAAATGGGTCAAGGTCATATTACAGCACCTTACAGCCCTTTATCATAATTCTACGTCTTCTGATTCAAATTAACGACTGGTAAGAGTAGTCGGGACCTAATTGGTTGTGATTTCTGATTTTGTGGTCATGGATCGAATGATAAAACTCGGTCTCACTGAACGGGAGAGACGAGCCGGGGGGCGCTAGTACTTTTCAAACTTAAGCCTAATAGCCTTTTTTCTGAAACTGGTCGAGACTAAATGTTTGAAGTTAAATGTTTCCGTCAGGCGGTTTTTAAATACCTGCTTTTTTCTAATTAAAAAATAATCTGTCCTCTTTTTCACAATTCTGTATCATAGGTATACGTGCCATTTGTTCAAAGTTTTAGTTCAAGATTGAGTGAAATATATTTGCCTGAGTATGAACTCAGTAAGTTATCCATTCCAGATATTACTATATATATTATATGTATTTTGTGTAAGATATTTGTAAAATCACTAACTAGAGGTAACAACCAGTAAAATACATCCGAGATGGTGAAGTGGTTTGTTTAATCGATAATCTGGTATACCATTTGTAAAGATGTTGCCAAATCAATAAAATTGTAAATTGTGAAAAAAATGGTGATTTCCAAGTCAGGTTTATTGTGTTCGTGTTAAGTCTCACTACAGGTAAATTCTTTAAGGTTTTGACAAAGCCTTCATTTTTTCTTATCTTTTTCTAATTCTGTGAATCCTTAAATTCTCGAAAGAAATAGGATAATCTGGTTTTTCAACATGTTTTTTTGTCATCCCAGTAATAAGATTTGGTAAAAGTAAATGGCATATCACCAGAAACGAACGATACGAGAATACTGAAGATATGCAATGGTTTCTTTTAATAGTCTTATCTTTATGCCAAGCAATTATTTCTGACGAGTCTAGATTACGAAGAAAAATACAACATGTATTTCGCTAACCTATACAGTTTTAGATCTTAAACAACCAAGATAATAAGACGATTTTTTTCTTTATTCTGATTTCATGATAAAATTTGTTACATTTCTATCCGTATTCCAGTGTTTTTCTTCAACAAATGGTAAAAGTTATTAATGCCGTCATCCTTTCTCTGCAGGATTACTATAAATCAAGGAAAATAGAAATCCCAATGTGTAGCTGGAGCGACATGGATCGTAGGGTATAACCAGACCATTTTCAGGTTTCCGGTTAGCTTGGCATAAAACAATCGTATAAACTCTCTCCTATTGACGTCATATGTTGAGAATGAAATAACCAGAATGAAGAAGGATTCTTCACAGTACGTATGAAAAAAGAAGAATTGTAAGAATGTAATCTTATTTTGGAGGATCAGTATCTATGGCTCGACATTTATATTGTCGACAGAAATGTATTTGTTTGGTATACTGACGGATCACCTCACAATAAACGGTTTAATGTATATCAGTAAGCATCCACTAATTAAGTGAGGTGACGTGGATGAAACAGCACTACATTTTGATTGATATGTAGATATACATGTTTGCACCTGTAGGCACGCAGACAATCAGAATGATCCAACAGCGGCCCAAATGCCAACAACGTTACAAATTTACGCATTTCACATCTCAACGATTGTAAAAAGTCAAAACCTCAGGACATAGCAATTCCAAGGTCATTTGGTAATTCATCAAGTGCGATGTGATTGTTTTTAATTTGAACAGTTAATCCGATCAGTTCCAACAGAAGATTATTTCCCGGCAAACTTTATATTTCTAAGATGGCTGCACTTTTCTGCGTCTCCGTACTGCTGCGTTCGTGATTTCTTCAGAAACCCCGCTTTGCTCTTTTTTGGTGGCAACTCGCTCGCCTTCGGATCGGCGATAGGACGTTAAAAAGCGGTATCAATTGTTTCATAATTAATGTAAAGCAAAAAAGATTGATATCTGAATTGTAATTTTTTCCAGGTATCAGGATTGCTACGTTCTTGATATCATCCGTCTCACTAGATTGTTTTGTTCCAGTTTTCTTCCGTGTCTTCGGAATGTGTTCCTGGATTTATTTATCTCCGAATTGTGTTCTTGGTATTTCCGGCGTTTCCCGGCTGTGTTCCTGGTATTTCCGGCGTTTCCCGGCTGTGTTCCTGTTTTTTTTGAATCTCCACATTGTGTCCCCCTTTTTTTTGGCGTGTTCAGATTGTCTCCCTGGTTTTTTTGGCGTGTTCAGATTGTCTCCCTGGTTTTTTTGGCGCGTTCAGATTGTCTCCCTGTTTTTTTTGGCGTGTTCAGATTGTCTCCCTGTTTTTTTTTTGGCGTGTTCAGATTGTCTCCCTGTTTTTTTTTTGAATCTCCACATTGTGTCCCCCTTTATTTTGGCGTGTTCAGATTGTCTCCCTTTTTTTGGCGTGTTCAGATTGTCTCCCTTTTTTTTGGCGTGTTCAGATTGTCTCCCTGTTTTTTTTTTAATCTCCACATTGTGTTTCCCTTTATTTTGGCGTGTTCAGATTGTCTCCCTGGTTTTTTTTTTTGAATCTCCACATTGTGTCCCCCTTTATTTTGGCGTGTTCAGATTGTCTCCCTTTATTTTGGCGTGTTCAGATTGTCTCCCTGTTTTTTTTTGGAATCTCCACATTGTGTCCCCCTTTATTTTGGCGTGTTCAGATTGTCTCCCTTTTTTTTGGCGTGTTCAGATTGTCTCCCTGTTTTTTTTTTTTTTGAATCTCCACATTGTGTCCCCCTTTATTTTGGCGTGTTCAGATTGTCTCCCTGTTTTTTTTTTTTTTTTTTTGAATCTCCACATTGTGTCCCCCTTTATTTTGGCGTGTTCAGATTGTCTCCCTTTTTTTTGGCGTGTTCAGATTGTCTCCCTGTTTTTGTTTGGCGTGTTCAGATTGTCTCCCTTTTTTTTGGCGTGTTCAGATTGTCTCCCTGTTTTTTTTGGCGTGTTCAGATTGTCTCCCTGTTTTTTTTTAATCTCCACATTGTGTCCCCCTTTATTTTGGCGTGTTCAGATTGTCTCCCTGTTTTTTTTTTTAATCTCCACATTGTGTCCCCCTTTATTTTGGCGTGTTCAGATTGTCTCCCTTTTTTTTGGCGTGTTCAGATTGTCTCCCTGTTTTTTTTTTGAATCTCCACATTGTGTCCCCCTTTTTTTTGGCGTGTTCAGATTGTCTCCCTGGTTTTTTTGGCGTGTTCAGATTGTCTCCCTGGTTTTTTTGGCGCGTTCAGATTGTCTCCCTGTTTTTTTTGGCGTGTTCAGATTGTCTCCCTGTTTTTTTTTTGGCGTGTTCAGATTGTCTCCCTGTTTTTTTTTTGAATCTCCACATTGTGTCCCCCTTTATTTTGGCGTGTTCAGATTGTCTCCCTTTTTTTGGCGTGTTCAGATTGTCTCCCTTTTTTTTTGGCGTGTTCAGATTGTCTCCCTGTTTTTTTTTTAATCTCCACATTGTGTCTCCCTTTATTTTGGCGTGTTCAGATTGTCTCCCTGGTTTTTTTTTTTGAATCTCCACATTGTGTCCCCCTTTATTTTGGCGTGTTCAGATTGTCTCCCTTTATTTTGGCGTGTTCAGATTGTCTCCCTGTTTTTTTTTGGAATCTCCACATTGTGTCCCCCTTTATTTTGGCGTGTTCAGATTGTCTCCCTTTTTTTTGGCGTGTTCAGATTGTCTCCCTGTTTTTTTTTTTTTTTGAATCTCCACATTGTGTCCCCCTTTATTTTGGCGTGTTCAGATTGTCTCCCTGTTTTTTTTTTTTGAATCTCCACATTGTGTCCCCCTTTATTTTGGCGTGTTCAGATTGTCTCCCTTTTTTTTGGCGTGTTCAGATTGTCTCCCTGTTTTTTTTTGGCGTGTTCAGATTGTCTCCCTTTTTTTTGGCGTGTTCAGATTGTCTCCCTGTTTTTTTTGGCGTGTTCAGATTGTCTCCCTGTTTTTTTTTAATCTCCACATTGTGTCCCCCTTTATTTTGGCGTGTTCAGATTGTCTCCCTGTTTTTTTTTTAATCTCCACATTGTGTCCCCCTTTATTTTGGCGTGTTCAGATTGTCTCCCTTTTTTTTGGCGTGTTCAGATTGTCTCCCTGTTTTTTTTTGGAATCTCCACATTGTGTCCCCCTTTATTTTGGCGTGTTCAGATTGTCTCCCTTTATTTTGGCGTGTTCAGATTGTCTCCCTGTTTTTTTTTTGCATCTCGGGATTATGTTCATGTTTTTTTTTCGTCTCCCGATTGTGTCCCTGGGTTTTTTTTTTGTTTTTTTAGGCGTCTTCAGATTGTTCATGATTTCTTTGGAATCCACAGATTGCTGCATCCATGATATTTTCAAAGTCTTCAGATTGCTGAGTTTGACTTGTCAACACAGACTGCTGCGTTCACCTTTTCTCAGACGTCCAAGGACTACTTGGTTCATGATTTCTTTGGTGTCTCAGTATTACCCTAGTTGATTTATTTGGTGTTGCATGATTGTTGTAGACCAATTCTCCAATATACCAAAATACCAAAACATTCCCTAGTAGAAGTCAAACAAACCAGCCACGTGACATCATCTGAACTTGTAAACTACAATTCACAATGATCAAAGTTTCATAGTGTACCCTATTATGACTTGGCCAAGCCAAGTAAGTTCCAATTTCATGTTTCCATGTACTCTACATGGTTTTAATTGGTGTACGAACATATATGGTAATTTAATGTTAATCAGAATTAGCAGATGGTCATGTTGAAGATGTCATCAATCCTGATTAACTAAACCATACCAAGTGAAAAAAAGATTGTAAAATATGTTCACTTAACAAATGATGTTGTCTGCTGTGCTTTCTTGTTCACTCAACATGTTGGTGTTAATATTACTTCGATTTTTCCATAGTCCTGCAACCAGAATTGGGGAGGGGGTATAGTTTTTGAGATGTATCTGCCCGTCCTTCTCTCCTTCCTTCCTTCCTTCCTATCTCATTGAGCTCCATCTCCTACACTATTTGTCACTGGAACTTCATACTTGGGATGATGTAAATCAAACTTGGTCTCTGACCTACATTTTAACATCTGACCTACATCAAAGGCAATGTTTGTAGGCTCTATCTACAACTGGGGCATGGGTTCACCTAGTTGAAACATATGTAAATTTATCAAAAGTAGGTCGTCCTTACCTTCATTTTGTCATTAGACCTACATGTACATCAAAGAAAAAAGTATCAGGGATTCATCTCCTACACTACTGGTCACTGGAACTTTGGGCACAAGGTCACAGTGGATTCCTGGTATTTAATTTTATATTTGGTGGTGGAATGAAATTACTAAAGTGTCTCATTTTGTCAGTAATGCATTGATGCAGTGTTATATGTAGTTATCATTCTCACTTTGACAACAGTAAACTCTTCTGATTAAGATGAAACCAACATTGGTATCAATTACTGTAAAGATATAGTAACTAAACTCACATGATCAGTAGTGACAAGATCATTTGTTCTATTTGTGTAATTCTGGACAAATGGAAGAATCTGATTTCTATGGCAAACAATCTATATCAAACATGGATATTTATGCACATTTCTAGTTAAACATATTTCCTACAGCATACTACTGTGGATTACAGAATGTGCTTAAATAGAAAATTTCCATTCCAACTCAAACGTACAAAAAGTGCTTTGATTCTTTGCTCTATGTTGTATTAATAACAAATTGTACAGTACCAAAGTAATCAAATGATACAGTTATATTCACAGACTCAATACACTTACAGGCATAAGAAAATAAGTTAGGTATAAAATAATTTAATAACAAATTAAAAGTCAATTTCACTGACACAATAAACAAGTGTTAAGATATCTGATTCTTTCTGAGTAATCAATATCCATGTCGGACTAAAATATAGCCACTGTCTGTGGACTGACTCTTGGTCGAGTTTACATGGTAGGCGAAACAGATACTTGCATTTAGCTGATTTTCAGTCTGTGAAACAGATGCTCACTCTTATTCAAGTTTTCACTCTTTCTGAAGCAAATACTTGCTCTTGGTTGGGTTTTCACTGTCTATGAAACAGATACCCAGTCTTGGTTGAGCTACACTGACAGTAAAACAGGTACCCAGTCTTGGTTGGGTTTTTGCTGTGCATGAAACAGATACCCAGTCTTGGTTGAGCTACACTGACAGTAAAACAGACACCCAGTCTTGGTTGAGCTACACTGACAGTAAAACAGACACCCAGTCTTGGTTGAGCTACACTGACAGTGAAACAGGTGCTTGGTCTTGATCAAGGTTTCACTGTCTCTGAAATAAATACTCACTCTTGTTTGAGTTTTCACTGTTTGTGAAACAGAGACTCACTGTTGATTGAGTTTTCACTGTCTGTGAAACAGGAATTCAGTTGAGTTTTGCATCCTCATCATCACAGTAATGTAACACTTAGTGTAATAAGGTGTGGTCCTGATGATATGTAATTAGCTATGGTACTGAAGTATTATTACTAACATTCTATACTTGTGCTCCTATCAAATTTTCAGATAACATTTAAATCCCTGTCAAATTTCAAGACATTAGGAAATCAGTCCACTGCACTGGTACATATCCAAGGTATTAAAAAGCTTTTGAAAAGTAAGACTCTCTCACTAGTATATATTTAAAGGTTTGGAAAACATAGTTCCACACACTAATGTAAATGACGACTTTCAGGAAAGTAAATCCCCTACATCTCTGTATAACCATAGAGTTTAGGGAAGTTAATTCCTATACTATATCTATCCACTTGTACAATAGTCCCTCCCTATTCTCCCATTCCACCCCACCTTCCCTCTTTTCAATAAAATTAGTCCAAAAAGAATATGCTGTTGAAATTGCTAGCACACAGCCTCTTCACTTCATCTGGAAAAAAAGAAAATAAGACAATTATAGTCATTAAAACATAGAATTAGTTATTGCATAAAATATACAGCAGTTAACTTTCAACTTACATGGTTGATTTCATGTCTTAACTCAGCCTAAATTTATGGTTATTAGAGTTATGTCCCTTTGTAAACACTTATATGTACATACCGTTAATTTCTATAAGATTAGTGTTTTTCTGGTTGATCACTACGTAGAATTCTCTTTGGTCAGATTTTTTCCCAACAACCCAATTGTCCCCTGTTGTTTTCACAATGGTTTCTCCATCTTCACTGCATCTGTTACAAAAAATAGAAGATACTATGGTAACCAGAAGCGCTTGTTTCATGTATTTACAACAGAATCCACAATAAAACTGATAATTCCAACATATCTGCAACAGCTGGCTGCAATCATCTCCCAAATACTCAATGCTCAAATGTTACTCAATCTTCAACCTGTTGGAACAATTTTAAAGAATGCTATTTGACATAAATGAACTGGATTACATCAATCACTAAGGTAAGAGTTGTGGTCACTGAGTAGGCAATACAGCGGCCACTGAGTAGGCAATACAGCGGCCACTGAGTAGGCAATACAGCGGCCACTGAGTAGGCAATACAGCGGCCACTGAGTAGGCAAGACAGCGGCCACTGAGTAGGCAATACAGCGGCCACTGAGTAGGCAATACAGCGGCCACTGAGTAGGCAATACAGCGGCCACTGAGTAGGCAATACAGCGGCCACTGAGTAGGCAATACAGCGGCCACTGAGTAGGCAAGACAGCGGCCACTGAGTAGGCAAGACAGCGGCCACTGAGTAGGCAATACAGCGGCCACTGAGTAGGCAAGACAGCGGCCACTGAGTAGGCAAGACAGCGGCCACTGAGTAGGCAAGACAGCGGTCACTGAGTAGGCAATACAGCGGTCACTGAGTAGGCAAGACAGCGGTCACTGAGTAGGCAATACAGCGGTCACTGAGTAGGCAATACAGCGGTCAGTGAGTAGGCAATACAGCGGTCACTGAGTAGGCAATACAGCGGTCACTGAGTAGGCAAGACAGCGGTCAGTGAGTAGGCAAGACAGCGGTCAGTGAGTAGGCAATACAGCGGTCACTGAGTAGGCAATACAGCGGTCACTGAGTAGGCAATACAGCGGTCACTGAGTAGGCAATACAGCGGTCACTGAGTAGGCAAGACAGCGGCCACTGAGTAGGCAAGACAGCGGCCACTGAGTAGGCAAGACAGCGGTCACTGTGTAGGCAGGAAAGCGGTCACTGAGTAGGCAAGACAGCGGTCACTGTGTAGGCAGGAAAGCGGTCACTGAGTAGGCAAGACAGCGGTCACTGTGTAGGCAGGAAAGCGGTCACTGAGTAGGCAAGACAGCGGTCACTGAGTAGGCAAGACAGCGGCCACTGAGTAGGCAAGACAGCGGTCACTGTGTAGGCAGGAAAGCGGTCACTGAGTAGGCAAGACAGCGGTCACTGTGTAGGCAGGAAAGCGGTCACTGAGTAGGCAAGACAGCGGTCACTGAGTAGGCAATACAGCGGTCAATGAGTAGGCAAGACAGCGGCCACTGAGTAGGCAAGACAGCGGTCACTGTGTAGGCAGGAAAGCGGTCACTGAGTAGGCAAGACAGCGGTCACTGTGTAGGCAGGAAAGCGGTCACTGAGTAGGCAAGACAGCGGTCACTGTGTAGGCAGGAAAGCGGTCACTGAGTAGGCAAGACAGCGGTCACTGAGTAGGCAAGACAGCGGCCACTGAGTAGGCAAGACAGCGGTCACTGTGTAGGCAGGAAAGCGGTCACTGAGTAGGCAAGACAGCGGTCACTGTGTAGGCAGGAAAGCGGTCACTGAGTAGGCAAGACAGCGGTCACTGAGTAGGCAATACAGCGGTCAATGAGTAGGCAAGACAGCGGTCACTGAGTAGGCAATACAGCGGTCACTGAGTAGGCAATACAGCGGCCACTGAGTAGGCAAGACAGCGGTCACTGAGTAGGCAATACAGCGGTCACTGAGTAGGCAATACAGCGGTCACTGAGTAGGCAATACAGCGGTCACTGAGTAGGCAATACAGCGGTCACTGAGTAGGCAATACAGCGGTCACTGAGTAGGCAAGACAGCGGTCAGTGAGTAGGCAATACAGCGGTCACTGAGTAGGCAATACAGCGGCCACTGAGTAGGCAATACAGCGGCCACTGAGTAGGCAAGACAGCGGCCACTGAGTAGGCAATACAGCGGCCACTGAGTAGGCAATACAGCGGCCACTGAGTAGGCAAGACAGCGGCCACTGAGTAGGCAAGACAGCGGCCACTGAGTAGGCAATACAGCGGCCACTGAGTAGGCAATACAGCGGCCACTGAGTAGGCAAGACAGCGGCCACTGAGTAGGCAGGACATACTTTTTTATGGATTTTATGCTGGTTTTTGAAGGATTTCAGTGATAATTTTTGTACCATATCATGCCAGGTTAAAAAAGCTAGGTCTTCCAACTTAAAAGTAACGATATGGTTGAGGAATATAAAATCCTAAACAACATTGACAAACTTGACAAAGACAAACTATTTACTATGTCCACAGTCTCTACTAGAGGTAATAGTAAAAAAACTTTTCAAGAAGCATAGCAGGACAAATGTCATTAAAGGGACTATTAGTCGACGGGTAGTGGATCTTTGGAATTCTCTTCCAAACACCGTAATAAAAGCCCCTACCCTAAACACCTTTAAGAGTCTTTTGAACAAACACTGGCAACAAGTACCGTTCAAGTTTTATCCTAGTGTTTATGTGGCACAACCGGACAACGAGTTGACTCAACAAAATGCACCTCAATTAGCTGAGATAAGCTAACAAGTGGTGTCTATGAAGAGGTAACAGGTAAGGGAGGTAGCTAAAAAGATGTCACTAGGTAATGTTTTATTCTTCACAGGTATCAATTCACTAAGACTGTATGTGACAATAATATATACATATATTGTACTAGCTAGGCTACCGCAAAGCATGCAGGTGTAAGATGTGTCATGTGTAGTGAATAGTCTATATATGGTATTATGTATTTGTATAGTATCTTGTAGCAGTGTCCAGTGTTTGTGTGACGTGTGTCCTGGTAAGAATGTTGATTGGGTAAGATAGTGCATCTGTAGTGGGTCAGAAGGCTTTGTGCAAGCATATGCATGTTTGCACATTCCTCTACTAGCACTTGCGAGCCTGGGTCCTACTTGTAAACATGTCACAGACTACATGTACCTGATAATAACTCCAATGCTAATGTGAGTAGGGGTAACCAGCTATGCTAGGATATTTAATGTGTTAAATGAAAGTTTAAGTTAACATTTTAAAATGAATGTAAATTGTTTTCCTATTTTGTAAGCTGACAATACTTTGTTCACACGAATTTGTGCCATGATACTCAATCCTTTGTTTTCTGGCCCCACTTATATAAAACATCTCAACTTGAGATTTCCTCAAGTCGAGATTTTCCTCAGCTGATATCTCCTCAAAAACGGCTTGTATAAAATTTTCTCAAGGAACAGGAGGAAGTCATCGGCTAGGATGTCCTGAAATTCCTTGAGGAATTTTCATACAAGATATTTTCAAGGAGATATTAGCTGAGGAAAATCTGGGCTTGAGGAAATCTTAAATTGAGATATCTTATACAGGTGGGGCCAGAAGTATATGTATTTGTAGGTAAATTGTTATGTCATTGGATTTTAATATGGAGAACTCAACCTCATGTCCACTTTCTCTCCAAGAGTCATGTGACATAGAAATCATTGTTTCATTGTAATATACTAAAACATTGTATCAATTTACATGTTATATAGTAAAGAATAAGACATTTAAATAGCACGGTATTGATGGTTACCTGGACATATCTGAGCTAATGTCACTGAGAAGTCGCAATGTCTCCATGGGAATCTGGACTGGCATGGATTTCTTGTCCGAGTGCACCGTGGATTTCTGAGCCAAGTTCATTTGGTTGAAGTAGATATATTTGCACAATGGGTCACCACTGTGAAAAAAGACAGCAACAATTCATTTGTATATCCCTACTTTTATTATCTTACAGTAAGGAAACTTGATGAATTAATTTCATCCTTCTCACTCCCTGACTTAATTGTTACTGAAAGAATGTACAGTAGGCTATCTAACTTAAGGGTTTAGAACAGGACCTTTTTAGCAAGCACTTCTTTTATTCTATGAGAAATAAGACAGTTAATATGTTAAGTTTTAGGATACTGCTAGATAAATTCTATACTCAAACTAGGCCTTTATATAAATCTGACCCCCCTAAAACTGGACCTACGTCTCTTTACATCCTCTCTGGATATAAACCTGACTCCCTTAAAGAGAGATGTATCTCTAAGCTTCACCTCACAAAATATGATCAACCCTTCATTGGTTCCTGAGATATCTGTTTATCATTGTTTTGCTATAAGTACTCCCTAACTACCTGTTATTTGGCCGTTTGGAATATTGTTCTCCTATATCTGAAGCAATCTGTGTGAGCTGTGGTCCCAAAAATATGTCCAGCTTTCGACAGAGATCAAATGTCATTTGGACGGACACTGAAAGCAAAATAAACAAGTGACATAACCTAACCTGGATTCGTGATTCATCTGGCTGGACTTCAAAATAAGCGTTTACAAATCAACAGTACACACAAAGTTAGCTTTGTTCATAGTCTTTGTACAGTAATACACCAGTTACAAAATATTTGCATCATGATATCAATGAACCGTTAGTATGAACAATATATTTCTGTAAAGAAATGTATTTCTCAATTCTGACTGGTTTGCTCATATTGCATGTCATGACAAACTCATTATATCTGTCAATACTGGAGTAATAGGATTTAATTAAGAAATCCAAGGGGCTGACTAATTTAGGTATTCAGTCATTATAAAACCGACAAATAATTTACCTAATGTGCACCAGCTTTGTAGTCAAACAGAAGTCAGATTCATCATTCATAAAAAATGCTTCAGACTAAACTTGAACAATATCCTCATATGAAAGAAGGACTTCTTAAGAACTTACGTATCCTTGCGTAAACTCACCACTCCTTCAGGTAAGGTCTGACATTGAAACAGACACTAGTATTGTGACACTAATAGTGATACAGACATTAGCATTGTGACACTTACACATGATACAGACACTAGCATTATGACACTTACAGTGATACAGACACTAGCAATGTGACACTTACACATGATACAGACAATAGCATTGTGACACTTACAGTGATACAGACACTAGCATTGTGACACTTACAGTGATACAGACACTAGCATTGTGACACTTACAGTGATACAGACACTAGCATTGTGACACTTACAGTGATACAGACACTAGCATTGTGACACTTACAGTGATACAGACACTAGTATTGTGACACTTACCATTGATAAGCATACAAACACTGGCATTGTGAGCTCTATAAACCAGAAGGTGACACTCCTCATTGTCAACCTCAGTATTCATGTACACCAGAGGAATCTTCCCCATGTTAGAGTCATCTCGCATATTGGGTGGTCCAGTGATAAATCTAAAAAACAAGAAGGACATTGATGAATCCTTGTTGATTTTATTATTGTCACACCCAACCATACCAGAAACAACTACTGAGTTTTATATATAGACAATGAAGAAAAAACAAAAAAGGTATTGTTACAACCACAATTTCTGGACTATTATTGAAATGTAAAATTGGCAGTATGTACATAAGTTCTTGATTATGACTTCTTAAGAGTGTTTAGCTTTTTTTTCAGTTTACAATCAAAATATTTTTCTCTGTGTTCCTGACCTACAATGTTCTTTTATTTTCTCTAAGATTGACAAAAACACTTTAAAACTTAAAAATGTCTGTAAGATATGAAATTCTCATCTCTCATGCATAATATGACCTTTGACCCTTTTACCTTGACCTATGATTACCTTAAATCTGTTGAGAAATTCTAAAAATGACAATGAGTGTTTGACCTTTCATCTTGACTCATTACCACCAAGATCTAAGCAGGTGATGCTATAGGATAAATATGAACCAAATCTATCGAGATGTCCTGAAGATATAACATTATTTCTAAATGCAACAGGATTTGACGGGGGACGGAGCAGGGCTGGACAGGACGTGGCGGGGCAGGACGGGGAAGGATACAATACAATCAATAAAGAAGTGTAAGTATTTACCTAATCTACATTGGAAAGACCCCTGTCTACATACCTCCCAGCTATTTTGTTGAGCAAAGCACAATGATAAACAAATTAAAGTAAACATAGCTTTTAAATAATGTTGTAGACTTTTTTTTGTGTGTTACAATGCAGACTTATTCCGATAGTGTACAGCAGAGTGTGCTGGGGAGGGGACTTGTGTGGGTGACTTACTTCCCTTAGTGTACAGCAGAGTGTGCTGGGGAGGGGACTTGTGTGGGTGACTTACTTCCCATTGTGTACAGCAGAGTGTGCTGGGGAGGGGACTTGTGTGGGTGACTTACTTCCCATAGTGTACAGCAGAGTGTGCTGGGGAGGGGACTTGTGTGGGTGACTTACTTCCCATAGTGTACAGCAGAGTGTGCTGGAGAGGGGACTTGTGTGGGTGACTTACTTCCCTTAGTGTACAGCAGAGTGTGCTGGGGAGGGGACTTGTGTGGGTGACTTACTTCCCATTGTGTACAGCAGAGTGTGCTGGGGAGGGGACTTGTGTGGGTGACTTACTTCCCATAGTGTACAGCAGAGTGTGCTGGGAAGGGGACTTGTGTGGGTGACTTACTTCCCATAGTGTACAGCAGATTGTGCTGAGGAGGGGACTTGTGTGGGTGACTTACTTCCCATAGTGTACAGCAGAGTGTGCTGGAGAGGGGACTTGTGTGGGTGACTTACTTCCCATAGTGTACAGCAGAGTGTGCTGGAGAAGGGACTTGTGTGGGTGACTTACTTCCCATAGTGTACAGCAGAGTGTGCTGGAGAGGGGACTCTTGTTGGTGATACACTGCTGCCCTGGAGTTCCTGTTCCTGGTATGTTGGGAATAGACTTGTGGTCAGATACTTGTACATTATTCTCATGTCATCCTGTTCCAAGCCACTCCTTGAAAAATGACAAATAATCCCAATCATTTTTTGCCTTGCTATTAGGTTGTCTGTAAGCTATTGTCCTAAAATCTTCCTTACTATCATACAAACATTCAAATTTCACATTTCCCTTGATTCATAATTCCATTGAAATTTGTGTTAAATACATCCTTCTCATCCTGTCCAAACAACCTATAAGAGCATAGTGCACTACTTATCTACAATCCCATTAAACATATCACTAGTTTTAGACATCAACATGGACTAGGATTTCATTCAACAAAGATGCAAAAATCAGTTAAAAAGAGTGGAAATGAAAAAAAAAAATCCCCGATTCAAAATGTATGGGGAAAGAAATGCTCACTGAAGTTTAATTATGAGTTCAATGAAGTAATGAACACATACCACACAATCTGGTATACCCTACCTATCCTCAATGACTTACCACACAATCTGGTATACCCTACCTATCCTCAATGACTTACCACACAATCTGGTATACCCTACCTATCCTCAATGACTTACCACATAATCTGGTATACCCTACCTGACCTCAATGACTTACCACACAATCTGGTATACCCTACCTAACCTCAATGACTTACCACACAGTCTGGTATACGCTACCTAACCTCAATGACTTACCACACAATCTGGTATACCCTACCTAACCTCAATGACTTACCACACAGTCTGGTATACTCTACCTAACCTCAATGACTTACCACACAATCTGGGATACCCTACCAAACCCCAATGACTTACCACACAATCTGGTATACCCTACCTAACCTCAATCACTTACCACACAATCTGGTATACCCTACCTAACCTCAATGACTTACCATTAACAATCTGGTATACCCTACCTATCCTCAATGACTTACCACACAATCTGGTATACGCTACCTAACCTCAATCACTTACTACACAATCTGGTATACCTACCTAACCTCAATGACTTACCACACAATCTGGTATACCCTACCTAACTTCAATCACTTACCACACAATCTGGTATACCCTACCTAACCTCAATGACTTACCACACAATCTGGTATACCCTACCAAACCCCAATGACTTACCACACAATCTGGTATACCCTACCTAATTTCAATCACTTACCACACAATCTGGTATACCCTACCTAACCTCAATGACTTACCACACAATCTGGTATACCCTACCTAACCTCAATGACTTACCACACAATCTGGTATACCCTACCAAACCCCAATGACTTACCACACAATCTGGTATACCCTACCTAATTTCAATCACTTACCACACAATCTGGTATACCCTACCTAACCTCAATGACTTACCACACAATCTGGTATACCCTACCTTACTTCTATGACTTACCACACAATCTGGTATACCCTACCAAACCCCAATGACTTACCACACAATCTGGTATACCCTACCTAACCTCAATGACTTACCACACAATCTGGTATACCCTACCTAACCTCAATGACTTACCATTAACAATCTGGTATACCCTACCAAACCCCAATGACTTACCACACAATCTGGTATACCCTACCTAATTTCAATCACTTACCACATAATCTGGTATACCCTACCTAACCTCAATCACTTACCACACAATCTGGTATACCCTACCTAACCTCAATGACTTACCACACAATCTGGTATACTCTACCTAACCTCAATGACTTACCACACAATCTGGAATACTCTACCTAACCTCAATGACTTACCACACACTCTGGTATACCCTTCCTTACCTCAATGACTTACCACACAATCTGGTATACCCTACCTAACTTCTATTACTTACCACACAATCTGGTATACCCTACCTAACTTTGATTACTTACCACACAAGCTGGTCGTTGTACAGAAAGGCTGTGTACTTTACTACTGAAAACATGGCTTCCAGGAGGTTGATGAAGCATTGTACACGCAGATAAGTGTTTTTGTCTAACGGCATAAAATGAATCCCACAAAAAATATCCAAGATGTCAGCAGATCCTAACTTTAGTGTCTGCAAGTACTGAAATGGAAACAATGAATTATTTAGAAAACGATCCATCAAAGCTTCTACTTTGTGTTGATGAACATGTATTCAGTTGATGTTCTGACATTGATAAGAGTGTAGTTATATGTACAGTAAAATGAATTAAAATCACTATATGTTAAGTACATTTGCATGATTGGATGATTTATTTGTAAATATTGATAAAGAATAACACATTATTTCTGATACTTACCCTTGTGTAGAAATGATCCAATCTAACCTGTAAGGCCTTGATGTCATTGTTGGACTTTGTTAATATGTTTGAAAAGGACCCGTTAAATAACTGAAAAAGACATGAGAAATCTTACATACATGCATCTTATTTATATAGGTGTTGTCAACACTTTGAATGTCATCGCTAGTATAATGAGAACATACTAATCATCATTCTCTTTCCTCGACCATCTACATCTTACAAATATGCTTCCTACAGGACAGCTCTAATACTGCAAACTCGTTAATTTCCAAGGGTTTTGTTGAATTAAGGGTTACTCTAATCCTCAAATGTATGTTTCCACAAAATAAACAGATAAACATTGAGCTGCTACAGTGGATTTCATGAGTAATATTTATCCATTGGTCACAGATCACTGATTTTAATAGACGTACAATATGATAATTTCAGCTATTCCAACCCTGAGACTTTTTGTACTTATACAAACTGGATACTTTCTGAAGTCATAAAAACTGGATACTTTCTGAAGTCATACAAACTTTCCGGGATCATACAAAATTAAAACTTTGTGCAATCATACACACTTGAGCTTTCTGGGGTCATGCAAACCTGAAACATTCTGTAGGCCTGCCGCAGAATAGCCTCAAATACAGAGTCCTGCACATCTTCTTCATGGTACTCTAAGTAGGAGGAATGGTCCTTGGTCTTCTCTGAGAATGGGATACTGACAGTCTGTCAAACAGATTTGAGGTAACATACCATTAGCAACAGATAACACAAAGCATGACATTACCCACCATGAATCGCTGTTTAAAAGAAAGACACACAATCATATATAAATGTTAATATCACAACAAAATCTATTTGTATTTGTTATTATTGTTCCAGACAAAGTATTGAAATGGAGAACTTCTACTAGAGTACTAGCTTGATGCCTGTACAAAGGTTTGAGTACCAGGTAATTACCTTGAATGGTTTAAGAGAACTGGTCTGAGATAATTGAACTTTGTAATCTTGCCTGTCTGTTTCCATGGTAATAGAAAAAGCATCTAAATGGAGAACTTCCCCATAGCAAAAGATTCTATACTATCTTAATAAGTATAAGTTTTGAGCAATTATTGTGAACGGTTTTATAGCAATGGTCCAGAAAAACTGAAATTTGTGATGAGAGTGATCTGTTTCCATGGTAACAGAAAAAAATTAACTAGGGCACCAACCTAATACATACAGAAAGTTTTGTGGAGTTGAGTGGAATGGTTTCAAAAATATAGCACGGAAAGGAAAATTAACACTAATTTTGTGGTTTTTGGTTATGTTTTCATGGTAACAGAAGAAAATTTAAAATTTCAATGTTGTCAATAGCAAAAGGCACAACTAGGGAATTAACTTAATATATATACAGCAAGTTTTGTAAAGTTAGAGTTGAATGGTCTTGAAGTCACAGAACTAGATGAAAAAACTGACAGGACATGAAAAGATACTGTCCTGCTGGAGACAATGGACTAGTTCTCGTTGTCAAATGATTCACCCTATTTCTGCAAAAGTGTGGTCACCACTGATGCTTAAAACAATGGCGAAACATTCTTAAACACTGACAACAACAATGCAGAATTCAAGAGATTTAGAACTCGATATGTATTTTGACATTCCACAGAATGGACCTATAACTTACAACAAAGACGTAACATAATATAAACGTCAACAGCATTAGCTACGACTTTCACTGATACCATATTACTATGTTTACCTTCATTTCACTCAAACACAAATATATACATGTACCTATATGAAAGCTTAATTAATTCTTTGTATTTTAAGTTACACTGACAGCATTTGACACATCAATCTGAATATAAGGAAACAAATCCAATATGGCATCCTCAGAATGGACTTCCAACAATATAACTTGTTCTAGTGCAAAGTGTGCATCCTTATGGTGAAAAGCCTTACTTAGTCTAAAACAGAGTGTAATATACGTCCATAGTAACGGTAAGTGTACCTGCTTGTTTAAGGTAATCTGTATCACTTTCAACTTAAATCCAAGTTATATCTAAAACATAAAATTACCACTTAAACAGCATACCATAATTTCTTTGTAAGTATTTAAAACATTAGTATTCCATATATAGCAAGTTTACCCTATTAATCATACTTCATTTACAGTTCTAAAACTTATAGTCAATGTACATACCATGATCATCCAAAATTCAGGTTCTGGTTCATAAAACAACTGCCTTGTCTTCTGTGTATGTATACTATTACAAGGCTTGTCAGCAAATGTCCTGAAACAGAGAGAGGAGAGAAAACTTAAATACTTCTGGTAATCAATGTGATGACTTTTCAAACTGCATGTTGTCTAGCAGTGCATAATTTCATGAAAATATATCTTTTTATTTAAATGATCTAAACATCAAAGAACATGTAGAAAAATGTTACAGAATTAAACAGCACTGTACAAGCTAGTTCAATACTACATCTATAATTAGCTTTAAACACCTAGTGGTAGTATCAACAAGTTACTGAACAGTGTATATTATGGTGCTACAGTGTTCACCATGTTTATCCTTTTATGAACTCATAGGAAAACGATATATATCCTCCAAGTCAAAATGGAGTAATATTACACTACTGGACAGTTTTGAAAAGTATATTGGTGGCTAGGTTTGGTGGGGTTTTTTCTCAACGAGGTGTGACTTTGATTGTACACCACAATGTTGAAATATAAATGTAATATCATATGATCCTTACTTCAATGTATTACATTAACTGTAAAATGCTGACAGACCAGTTATCCATAAATCTGATATCAAAATAAGGTAAGGGAGATAACTCTCACGATAACCAACTTACTCTGTAAATTTGACAACTGCTTCACAAAGACCAACTTGTTTTATCCTTGTGTCAACATCATTTGACTTTGGATGATAATACATGATCTTCTTTTCTTCCTGTCAAACCAAACAAAGACTCAAAAAATTAAGTACAAACCTGAGGTCAGCCAATCTCATTTTGAAGTGTAAGTACACAACAGCATTATCAAAAAAATGTCCAAAAAAAATGTGAGAGAAAATGTCAGTTGTGAGAGCCATTTTCAAGTTTTAAATGCAAACCATGCGTTTTTATAGAAAGTACTGTAGAGATAAAATTTGTTTTGACTCTGCCTCTAAAACTAAACATATATTTTAAAGTTTTACAACAAGACATTTTTATGAAATGTGACATATGCTTTGTTATTTTGTGTTTGCAACAAAATAATGCTACATTACCATTTTCTATTTTTCCTGGTTCTAATATCAATTTATCTGGTATATATACATGGTGTACTACATAATATCAATTTACCTGGTATATATACATGGTGTACTACATAATATCAATTTACCTGGTATATATACATGATGTACTACATAATATCAATTTACCTGGTATATATACATGGTGTACTACATAATATCAATTTACCTGGTATATATACATGGTGTACTACATACTATCAATTTACATGGTATATATACACAGTGTACTACATTCTAAACATAACATATATATTATATACCTCGCCTTCCCTTGGTCCATAAGAGGCATTGAAGACAAAGAAGTTCAGTAAAGTTATATTTCCTTTCGTTCCCATTGTTGTTAAAATCCTTCTTTGTCAGTACACGACAATATTAGTAATATTAGTCAACTCAGTTCAGTATCCATCCATTGTGCATGGCCTACATTTTCATCAACACAACATTCAAATGATGTCTTCGCTGTCACTAACATGCAGAGTACTAATTTCAGCAGAAACTGTTTGTCTAAATGTCATAATGGCTTTTACTTTTTTGCTGCTAACAATGCTCCAGTGAATTATCTGAAAATAAGTAAAGATTTTGTTACATTATAGATTGTAGAGAATGTTCACACAACAGGACTTGTACCGAGTAGATTCTTGGAGTCAAAAGTAACTTTCAGCGATAATCATCTATACTAAAAAGTAATACAGTTTCCCATCAGAAAATGCTGCATTCAGTTTCTGTTTTACATGTTAGGTTTCTGGAAAGTCATGTACTTTAAACTCAAAACAATTATAATACAGAGTGATACAGCACAAGTTTTTGCCTCATAGTTACACTATCGCATAATCATAGTACAATACACTTCAATCAATTTTAACCTGTGCAATTCCACGAGACAAAGCCAATGATTCCCAACATCAGGTCATAAATATTTATGTTTAAGGTGACAGATCTCATCTCAGGGCCGTGATATAATATCAATTTTCATCAATGCCATGCATGCTCATAGCCTATTTACTCTCTCTTTCCCTTTTTTCTGCCACCATCTTCTCTCTTTTTCCTAATCTTGTTTTTCCTTACATTAGTAACTCTATGGTAATATCTCCTCATATAATATAACTTAAATTTGTCAAATTTGAGACATTTCATGAGGTCTATTGACTGCCTGACAGTGATGACTCAATTAATCGATAATTGGTTTGATAAACATAATTACAGATTTATCACAGTTGTATTGTTTCATCAGGCCAATAAAGTATGCTTTTATGATTATATAACAAATTTATTGCTACATACCCCCTTTATCCAATAGGGAGTACAATGAGTGCTTCGACAAAGAACCTTGTACGCGTACCTGTGACAACAACATCATAAAATGCAAAACTGATGGTAAAAGCACATACTACTGGACTTTCATAGTACTTCTTTTTTTCTAATGATGCTTGTAACCCTGATAAATGCATTCGGTATGGACCTGTACATTTTGAGACATCACATGATGGCAAACAAGAAAAAAAATGTCTTGAACAAGAAAACTGTAATACAAGTTCTATATTGGTCAGTACAGCACCTTATCATAATAATCTTCCATGTTGCAATTGAAGAACAGTTCTTTCTTGACACGTATGATGCATTTTTACCAAGATGCAATGACTATTTAATAAAAAACAGAAATGTAAGTGTCTATACCCTACCTGGTCTGCCCCGACAAAGTTGCACTCCTTATGTATTTTATATATGATTCCTGCTATTTTGATATTATTACTTTACATCCTATTAACACCTTCTGAAAAATGATTTGGCCCCCTCGACGTGCTGGTCATGATGATCTGTCAAATACTATAGATTTGCAGTCACATATCAGAAGTTGTACTTTTTTCACTGACATATAGGTAGACAATTAACATTTTATACTCCTATGAATCCGACATGTATAGTAGGATGCAAATATTTAAACAACATGCAGATGGCTGGCGTAAAGGAAGACTTTGACAGTGACTATGTCGCCTAAATTCACCTCACCTCCCACCATCGTCAAAACCGGAAACGAACTCTTTTATTTTCGATATACTAATAAGTGAGCGGAATGCGGACAAGAAAACGGAAAGGGCAAACATTTTTTTCTAAAACGTTGTTCGCTGAAAGACCGTAATAGTGGACACTAAACCCGTTGAATATGATTTTTTTCTAATACACAATAAAAAAAATACGATGATATACAATATTTTTTTGTTTAAACTAGAGTTTTGGACAGGAAAATTTAGCTCAGTAGAGCTACCATGCGATAACAACAAAAATAAACACAATAAAGCATCGCAATAAAATTTTACAAAATTATACATCACAGAATAAAGAGTAGAAGAGTACAAATTGATTAAAGGACATGCAAACACAATACTTATGCAGTATAAAGATTATATATTAAGAGACGTGTGTAATGTAAGTATACTAAACAAAAAAGAAAGGTAACACTACTTTATTCTGTGATTAATTAATTAACCCCTTCAAAAATCCTTACCAATCATGTACGAATAAAGTAATTGATCAATTCTGATAAAACTGCAGTCATGGTTCATTATAAAACTTTGCATTCAGTTGATTTTATTCGACTGTAAAGGACGTTGGGGTCAATTTCAAAGGTAACACCATTAGTAACGGGTATGGCCACCGTTTGCGAAGTAAACAGCATTGCAGCGTCGTGGCATGGAACTCGTAAACCGGCGGATAATACGAGGAGAGATGTTGTTCCATTCAGCGATCAAGGCTTGGGCCAGCTCCTGCAAGTTTGACGGCTGATTTTGACGTTCCCTCACGCGTCGCCCAAGAAAGTCCCAGACATGCTCAATCGGTGACAAATCAGGTGATTTGCAAGAATTTTTCTCCGTAAGATCAGCATCAATCTGGAACAAACTACCGGACCATATTGTTACTGCAAAAACTATCAATATGTTTAAAAATGAGTTAGACCGTTACTGGAGGAATCATGAACTTTTCTTCAACTACAGAGCTGAAATAACTTAACTATTATTGAATTAATTGTATAAGAAACATTGCTAATGAGAGGCACATATTAATTTAATTTATTTATTATAGTATATTGAAACTCTAACATGTATTACTGGGTCTGGTATAGAGGACTCAAGCACGTCCAGAACCGGAAATAAACTTATCTTTATCTTTATTTAGATGGCCAATCTAAACCCTGTACGTTATTCTGCTGCAAGAAAGTTCTGCTGACGCGACTGGTGTGCGCTGGTGCGTTATCCTATTGAAAAATGGCACCAACGCCATGGCGTCTTAAGAATGGCAGAACCACTGGTCTTAAAATTTCGTACCGATATCGAATGCCGGTTAAATTGCCATTTAACACAACAAGCCTGGTACGAGTACCCCTACAAATACCACCCCAAACCATTACACTTCCGCCGCCAAAGCGGTCCCGTTCTGCGACGCAGCAGTTCGCAAAACGCTCCCCTCCTCGCCTCCACACTCTGCGCCTTCCGTCACCGTGTTGCAGACAAAACCTGGACTCATCTGAAAACAGAACATTGTTCCATTGTCGTAAGGCCCAACGACGGTGAACACGGGTCCAGTTACGCCGATTATTACGGTGACGTCGCAACAAATTGGGTCCAGTGTAGGGACGCCGCGCTTTCAATTGGTAGGCCCTCAACCTGTTGCGGACTGTTTGGGGAGACACACGACGCCCAAACAATGTCCTTGTAGTCTCTACTGCGGTTACGAATCGATTGCGCAAGTGTACCAATCGTATACGACGGTCATCCCTGGCGGTCGTTTTACGGGGTCGGCCGCTTCGGGGACGATCGGATGTTGACCCAGTTTGGTTTAAACGACTTACCAACTGGCAAATTGTCTTAACACTGCAACCAAAGTGTCGTGCAATTCGACGGCGAGACTCCCCAGCCTGGATCATGCCTACAGCCCTTTCTCTCTGTACTTGTGACAGCCGGGGCATAATGATAAAGTTCACGATAGATAGCAAGATTCGGTGATTTCTAAGTCCTAAGGATCTAAGGAAAAGTTGTCAGTTTGAATGTTTATGAAATTCAAGCGAAAATACAAGTTAGTCGCAGAAAACCTCGTGCAGCTCTTTCGCTAATACAGACTTTCACGCTTGAATGATTTTGGTAACCCCCTTGGATTTTGTAATGTAAAACATTACCATTTTCGAATATTGCACAAACGTCATTTTGTTTTCACTCATTTACAGGTATTCGCCAAGGAAACATGTTAACCTTTCTTTTTTTTGAGTATATATGCCAATGTGGCAAAAAAAAATTGAAAGGATACATGCTGATGTAGCATAATTTAAAAACAGTAATGCGACATATTTGAAAGAATGTTTTAGAAATGACAACATAAAGTTTTACAACGAAAACATAACGGAGTTGCGAATTATCTTAGGCAGGTGAAGATAAGAAGAAACATATGCCAATGCACGCTAATGGGTTACAACTACATATCGAGCTGTCCCACGTATGTTAAAGTATCCGGTGAGGACGGGAAGGGATTCAGCTTTTCTCATTAGGTAGTCCAAAAGGATTTCTTACCATACCTAGTTGGCAGCAATGAAAAATATCACAATTATTTCTTTCTAAACGAATACGTGACGGTCAGACTATTCTTTTCTTTACCTTCTCTAATTTCCTAGTGATTTTTGAAAACTACAGAAGAGCTATGCTTGAGATCAGTAGTTAAGTTTTGAATAAACAATATTTATATTAAAAGATGTGAGAATCGTGTTTTGCACTACTTACTGATGTAAGAGCCAATTCGTTTTAGTATACAAAGTTGCTTGGAAACACTTCCTACATCTGCAAATCAGAATTCAGATCAGGGTCGTGTCAACACTCACACTTAAAAGAATTTTCACATTTAATTTCGTGCTTGCCAGTGATGAGAGAAAGAATCACTTGATTCATTTTCTTGTCTAAACAGAAATTTATCGAGATTCGCTGGTACCACATTACCGTTAAACCCATTTACTAAGTTCTTAGTGTCTTGTTCAAGTGACATGTTACATTTTTTAGAAATGATATCCTTATTAAGACTGTTAACAGACTGACCCCCGGGGTATTCCCTTCGTCAACAGCTCCCAGTCACTGGCATTTGGCCCTGGACCTGTTCGCGGAAATTTCCAGTCACAGTTTTTTCTACCAACAGCGGTCTACGAGAAAGGCAGTCGAAGGCCCTAGACAGATTCATCAGAATACTCATATGGTTGTACTCAAAGGATTCGTTTTCTTAAAAACGAGAATTAAGCGAATCTGCTTCAAACAGGAAAATGCTTCTCTGCTATACAGACATTAACCAAGTTTGTTATCTAAAATAGTCAAGGACGAGGACCCAGTATCATAACTAGGGAGAATGCCATCTACTCAAGTTTTTTAAACCAAGTTTGTTTTTAGCTTACGAAAACACTGTGGGCTCATTTGAGAAAATTAAAGAAATAAATCCAACTGATTGGCTATAATCCATTTCCCTTAGATACTTACCTTTTAGGCATGGTTTAAATGCAGTAAGTTGCACGGTTCGTCTAGTGACATGCACATGAAACAGGTGGGAGTGCCTCCATATACAGTCCTTATACCACCACGAGACAGAAAGTTCGTCCGTCTTTTAGGTAAAAAAACATTGACACTGTATACCAATTCAGGTCTACTTACACACGCCCATAAACAAAATGTTAATACCTGTTATTATCATAGCTGTAACTTGGCCTAAAACAGAGTGTACTATAGGCCCATATGTAATGAAGCCTATCCCATCCAGCCTTAGACGTGGGTCCTGGGATAATCCAGAACGTCGCGGTATCACACAAATAACGTGTCAGTGTTTTAATTGTATTTAATTAATTAATTGTCAATTGGAGTATATTTGTACATATAGATAATTTCCATGTCGATAATTTTGGAGACCACTCAGCGACTGTGACATTAAATCCATATATCAGGATATCAACACATTTACAACACTCACATATTTTTGCTGTAGAATGGTAAAAAGCAACATATCTGATATTCATCCTTGTCTTAGCAACTTCTTTCACGTAGGATCATATTGCCGGTTGTCATTGGTTACTTCCATCACTTTGTTGGAGAGACATACCTGCAATGAGTTGGTAAAATGGACATAATTGAGTATAGAGCAGTGACAAAGTTTCCAGTCGTTCTGGAGAGTCAGTCTACAAAACGGATTGAAGAGCAAGACACTGCAATTTCTGGGTTTTTTTCTTCTTCCACAGCTATCAAAGGATTAGTGAGGGAATTCCAGCGAGGAAAAGGAGGTTAGAAGAGGACCCCTAGTCGGGACGTCTGTCAACTGGTACTAGCCCGGAAAGCATTGACAATGTGCATAAACCGGTGATGGAAAACCATCTTAACTCTTTGTGAGTTAGCAACAGACTTTCTCATGGATCCATGCAAGGCATTTAATGACAAACTATACACGTCTAAGGTGTATGCTGTTGGAGATACGTTATTTTGAATACGTGAAACCCAGTCCTTATCTACTACTTAATTTAGTGCATGAAGCAATGTATGTACAGGCCCTATGTTGTTGTAACATGCTATCAAGGGAAGAGGGGGTTAAGTTATTATGTATATAGTTATGTTGCGGATAAATTAAAACGACGAGAATATATCTAAATTTTACCTAACAAGTACATGAAACCCATTACTTCATGTGCCCTCCATCTTGTTGATTAAGCTGGTTAAATGTCAAATATAAACATGAGACACAGTGCTGTAATTGTACCAAGATGCACCTCAAGTGGTAAACCATCTTACGTTGACATCAAAACTGTATACAATTGTGCAATGTCGACGCAATCTTGTCATGTTGGTTTCTCCACTAATCCCCGTGAGGACGTTCAAAGTTCGACGTGCTTTTTTCCACGGCACTTTCCTGCAGTCACTCAACACGTGTCGATTCGCATGACATTCCGAAGTGCATGGTCAACTTTCGGACTCTTCAACGCAGATAATCATGTTGGCAATATTCGTTACTTGTTTTCAGTGTTAAGAACGTAATATTTCCTTGATATTTGATAGCATGAGTGTATGCTTATCCAAAACACCACGTGTAGGTATATAAAAAAGGCTGTTGATGGACCTATATCAAACATTAAGAAGCTTTCAGAGGTGCAGTTTTGACTTTGTAACAAGGACAAGGTTACCGTGTTGTCCAGAGAACGTATTGTTTAGGATTTACCTTACTTGATGAGATATGACTACATTTCACACGTTTACGGTCAGCTAGAGATAAAATTGGCCACGTTTCGTGTAACACACTTTAATCGTACACACACATCTCTCTTCTAGAATCGAACAGGAGACCAGAGCTTTAACATAAAGGTATAATATAAAGTTTTCTCGTTTTAATTATTAGATAATATGGAATTGAAGTGTCGGTAGTACAGGAACCACATACATGTTTGTGTAGGCCTGGTGATAAGCATGTGAATATGTTTATTAGAGATCTAGTAAAATCATTTTGTTTATGGTAGTTGTGATAAACTCATTGGGAGTTATTTATTCTCCTGTGCGATATAAAGTTGGACGAGTTTGATGTTCGATAATGTGGTTTCGTGGTTACTTTGTTCTCATTTGGGAACGTGACATTACTTGTTCGGATTGACCAGAATTTACATGGCAAGTGTTGGCATTGAAGCAGAACACTCTTCTTAGTACGGGACACGTTGGTCTTACATTATGTAATTTTCCGGAGCCTCCGTTAAATCTTTCATTTGTTTATAATTTGCCTTGGTTTTATGGAAGTTTAATTTGACTTGGTTTTATGGAAGTTTAATTTGACTTGTGATTTTGTTAACATATCGTATTCTTTGTTGCTTTTCTAAGATGCCTCGTGTCATCACCGATTTAATTGGGATCCAATACCTGGACGTGACTTATTTTACAACACTGATCCTTGTCTCTGTTGTTCTATACTGGAGTTATCTACTACTGCTTGGAATTCTGCTCCTCGTCCTTACATCTTGTTTCTGCATCAGAAAAAAACAAACAAAACAGCTTCTTGATGTCAACGGCCAGGGCGTACTAATTACAGGGTGTGATACAGGTAAAATCACTCACAGATGTGTTTATTAGAGGCTGTGATACAGGTAAAATCACTCACAGGTGTGTTTATAACAGGGTGTAATAAAGGTAAAATCACTCACAGGTGTGTTTATAACAGGGTGTAATAAAGGTAAAATCACTCACAGGTGTATTTAAAACAGGGTGTGATACAGGTAAAATCACTCACAGGTGTGTTTATAACAGGGTGTAATAAAGGTAAAATCACTCACAGGTGTGTTTATAACAGGGTGTAATAAAGGTAAAATCACTCACAGGTGTGTTTATAACAGGGTGTAATAAAGGTAAAATCACTCACAGGTGTGTTTATAACAGGGTGTAATAAAGGGAAAATCACTCACAGGTGTGTTTATAACAGGGTGTAATAAAGGTAAAATCACTCACAGGTGTGTTTATAACAGGGTGTAATAAAGGTAAAATCACTCACAGGTGTGTTTATAACAGGGTGTAATAAAGGTAAAATCACTCACAGGTGTGTTTATAACAGGGTGTGATACAGGTAAAATCACTCACAGGTGTGTTTATTAAAGGCTGTGATACAGGTAAAATCACTCACAGGTGTGTTTATAACAGGGTGTGATAAAGGTAAAATCACTCACAGATGTGTTTAAAACAGGGTGTGATACAGGTAAAATCACTCACAGGTGTGTTTATTAAAGGCTGTGATACAGGTAAAATCACTCACAGGTGTGTTTGAAACAGGGTGTGATACAGGTAAAATCACTCACAGGTGTGTTTATAACAGGGTGTAATAAAGGTAAAATCACTCACAGGTGTGTTTAAAACAGGGTGTAATAAAGGTAAAATCACTCACAGGTGTGTTTATAACAGGGTGTGATACAGGTAAAATCACTCACAGGTGTATTTATAACAGGGTGTGATACAGGTAAGCTATCTAACAAAATTCTTTAGTACAGGCTGTGATACAGGTAAAATCTCTAAGAGTGTGTAAGTTACAGAGCACGATACAGGTAAAATCTCTAACAGTGTGTAAGTTACATAGCACGTTACAGGTAAAATCTCTAACAGTGTGTAAGATACAGAGCACGATACAGGTAAAATCTCTAACAGTGTGTAAGTTACAGAGCACGATACAGGTAAAATCTCTAACAGTGTGTAAGTTACAGAGCACGATACAGGTAAATTCTCTAACAGTGTGTAAGTTACAGAGCACGATACAGGTAAAATCTCTAACAGCGTGTAAGTTACAGAGCACGATACAGGTAAAATCTCTAACAGTGTGTAAGTTACATAGCACGATACAGGTAAAATCTCTAACAGTGTGTAAGTTACATAGCACGTTACAGGTAAAATCTCTAACAGTGTGTAAGTTACAGAGCACGATACAGGTAATATCTCTAACAGTGTGTAAGTTACAGAGCACGATACAGGTAAAATCTCTAACAGCGTGTAAGTTACATAGCACGTTACAGGTAAAATCTCTAACAGCGTGTAAGTTACAGAGCACGATACAGGTAATATCTCTAACAGTGTGTAAGTTACAGAGCACGATACAGGTAAAATCTCTAACAGTGTGTAAGTTACAGAGCACGATACAGGTAAATTCTCTAACAGCGTGTAAGTTACAGAGCACGATACAGGTAAAATCTCTAACAGCGTGTAAGTTACATAGCACGATACAGGTAAAATCTCTAACAGTGTGTAAGTTACATAGCACGTTACAGGTAAAATCTCTAACAGTGTGTAAGTTACAGAGCACGATACAGGTAAAATCTCTAACAGTGTGTAAGTTACAGAGCACGATACAGGTAAATTCTCTAACAGTGTGTAAGTTACAGAGCACGATACAGGTAAAATCTCTAACAGCGTGTAAGTTACAGAGCACGATACAGGTAAAATCTCTAACAGTGTGTAAGTTACATAGCACGATACAGGTAAAATCTCTAACAGTGTGTAAGTTACATAGCACGTTACAGGTAAAATCTCTAACAGTGTGTAAGTTACAGAGCACGATACAGGTAAAATCTCTAACAGTGTATAAGTTACATAGCACGTTACAGGTAAAATCTCTAACAGTGTGTAAGTTACAGAGCACGATACAGGTAAAACTTCGAATAGGTGTGATATAGGTAAAAACCACTCTTTACTTCGTTTATTACAGAATGTGATGCAGGTAAACTTATCTTAAATTTGTTGTACAGGAAGTGATACATGGATTGGCCACGCTCTCGCCTCGAGGCTGGACAGTCTGGGATTTACAGTGTACTGGCCTTACACTTTTGTTTCAGGGATTGGCCACACTCTAGTCAAGAAACTGGACAGACTGGGATTTACAGTGTGTGTGATTTTACCTTAATCTTCTGTTTCAGGGATTGGCTACACTCTAGTCAGGAAACTGGACAGACTGGGATTTACAGTGTTCTTGTGTTTCAGGGATTGGCTACACTCTAGTCAGGAAACTGGACAGACTGGGATTTACAGTGTGTGTGATTTTACCTTAATCTTCTGTTTCAGGGATTGGCTACACTCTAGTCAGGAAACTGGACAGGCTGGGATTTACAGTGTTCTTGTGTTTCAGGGATTGGCTACACTCTAGCCAGGAAACTGGACAGACTGGGATTTACAGTGTGTGTGATTTTACCTTAATCTCGTGTTTCAGGGATCGCTACACTCTAGTCAGGAAACTGGACAGACTGGGATTTACAGTGTGTGTGATTTTACCTTAATCTCGTGTTTCAGGGATTGGCTACACTCTAGTCAGGAAACTGGACAGACTGGGATTTACAGTGTGTGTGATTTTACCTTAATCTTGTGTTTCAGGGATTGGCTACACTCTAGTCAGGAAACTGGACATTTACTGTTGTGATTTTACTTGGGATTTACAGTGTGTGTGTGTTCATTTTAGTCAGGAAACTGGACAGACTGGGATTTACAGTGTTCTTGTGTTTCAGGGATTGGCTACACTCTAGTCAGGAAACTGGACAGACTGGGATTTACAGTGTGTGTGATTTTACCTTAATCTCGTGTTTCAGGGATTGGCTACACTCTAGTCAGGAAACTGGACAGACTGGGATTTACAGTGTTCTTGTGTTTCAGGGATTGGCTACACTCTAGCCAGGAAACTGGACAGACTGGGATTTACAGTGTTCTTGTGTTTCAGGGATTGGCTACACTCTAGTCAGGAAACTGGACAGACTGGGATTTACAGTGTGTGTGATTTTACCTCTAGTCAGGAAACTGGACTTGGGATTTACAGTGTGTGTGATTTTACAGGGATTGGCTACACTCTAGTCAGGAAACTGGACAGACTGGGATTTACAGTGTGAGTGATTTTACCTTAATCTTGAATTTCAGGGATTGGCTACACTCTAGTCAGGAAACTGGACAGACTGGGATTTACAGTGTGTGTGATTTTACCTTAATCTTGTGTTTCAGGGATTGGCTACACTCTAGTCAGGAAACTGGACAGACTGGGATTTACAGTGTGTGTGATTTTACCTTAATCTTGTATTTCAGGGATTGGCTACACTCTAGTCAGGAAACTGGACAGACTGGGATTTACAGTGTTCTTGTATTTCAGGGATTGGCTACACTCTAGTCAGGAAACTGGACAGACTGGGATTTACAGTGTTCTTGTGTTTCAGGGATTGGCTACACTCTAGTCAGGAAACTGGACAGACTGGGATTTACAGTGTGTGTGATTTTACCTTAATCTTGTATTTCAGGGATTGGCTACACTCTAGTCAGGAAACTGGACAGACTGGGATTTACAGTGTGTGTGATTTTACCTTAATCTTCTGTTTCAGGGATTGGCTACACTCTAGTCAGGAAACTGGACAGACTGGGATTTACAGTGTGTGTGATTTTACCTTAATCTTGTATTTCAGGGATTGTGTGGGATTTACAGTGTGTGTGATTTTACCTTAATCTTGTATTTCAGGGATTGGCTACACTCTAGTCAGGAAACTGGACAGACTGGGATTTACAGTGTGTGTGATTTTACCTTAATCTTGTATTTCAGGGATTGGCTACACTCTAGTCAGGAAACTGGACAGACTGGGATTTACAGTGTTCTTGTATTTCAGGGATTGGCTACACTCTAGTCAGGAAACTGGACAGACTGGGATTTACAGTGTTCTTGTGTTTCAGGGATTGGCTACACTCTAGTCAGGAAACTGGACAGACTGGGATTTACAGTGTTCTTGTGTTTCAGGGATTGGCTACACTCTAGTCAGGAAACTGGACAGACTGGGATTTACAGTGTTCTTGTGTTTCAGGGATTGGCTACACTCTAGTCAGGAAACTGGACAGACTGGGATTTACAGTGTGTGTGATTTTACCTTAATCTTGTGTTTCAGGGATTGGCTACACTCTAGCCAGGAAACTGGACAGACTGGGATTTACAGTGTTCTTGTGTTTCAGGGATTGGCTACACTCTAGTCAGGAAACTGGACAGACTGGGATTTACAGTGTGTGTGATTTTACCTTAATCTTCTGTTTCAGGGATTGGCTACACTCTAGCCAGGAAACTGGACAGACTGGGATTTACAGTGTTCTTGTGTTTCAGGGATTGGCTACACTCTAGTCAAGAAACTGGACAGACTGGGATTTACAGTGTGTGTGATTTTACCTTAATCTTGTGTTTCAGGGATTGGCTACACTCTAGTCAGGAAACTGGACAGACTGGGATTTACAGTGTGTGTGATTTTACCTTAATCTTGTGTTTCAGGGATTGGCTACACTCTAGTCAGGAAACTGGACAGACTGGGATTTACAGTGTTGTTGTGTTTCAGGGATTGGCTACACTCTAGTCAGGAAACTGGACAGACTGGGATTTACAGTGTGTGTGATTTTACCTTAATCTTCTGTTTCAGGGATTGGCTACACTCTAGCCAGGAAACTGGACAGACTGGGATTTACAGTGTTCTTGTGTTTCAGGGATTGGCTACACTCTAGTCAAGAAACTGGACAGACTGGGATTTACAGTGTGTGTGATTTTACCTTAATCTTGTGTTTCAGGGATTGGCTACACTCTAGTCAGGAAACTGGACAGACTGGGATTTACAGTGTGTGTGATTTTACCTTAATCTTGTGTTTCAGGGATTGGCTACACTCTAGTCAGGAAACTGGACAGACTGGGATTTACAGTGTTCTTGTGTTTCAGGGATTGGCTACACTCTAGCCAGGAAACTGGACAGACTGGGATTTACAGTGTTCTTGTGTTTCAGGGATTGGCTACACTCTAGCCAGGAAACTGGACAGGCTGGGATTTACAGTGTATGCTGGTTGTCTCCGGGGAACATCGGACTTGCGTAAACATGCGTCAAAACGATTACATGTTATACAGCTCGATGTCACTAGTGACGACAGCGTCAGCAAAGCTCTGGATTATGTGTCTGCTCACAGCACCAAAACGAAATGTGGTATGTTTTCATTGCCTTATCGTATCATGATTTTTTGGCGGGAAATGGACAAACATGCGATGTACAAAGCAATAATTCTACAAAACTTATAGATGTATCAAACTTGTATTGTTACATTAAACTTATTACAAGCGCCAACGTTATATATAACTCAGGCTTGTTTATATAACAGTCTGACAGCAGACTCCATGGAGGTTGCAATTCTTCCTGGAATAAATGCGTATAATTTATATTCTCTCTCTCTCTCTCTCTCTCTCTCTCTCTCTCTCTCTCTCTCTCTCTCTCTCTGTGTGTGTGTGTGTGTGTGTTACACATTAAAAATTGTAACAACATAATAATGTATAATAAAACAGTGTTTTTGCACTATGTTTATAACAGTTGTAAGAATTTGCTAAAACTACCTTGTAGGCGTGTGGGGATTAGTGAACAACGCGGGGGTAAATCACATTGGGGACGTAGAGTTCTGTACGATGGAAATGTACAGAAGAATTCTCGAGGTCAATATACTGGGCATGGTCAGAGTGACCAAGGCATTTCTGCCTCTCATCCGTAAGTCTGAAGGTAAGTTCTGCAACCCATGTGTCTTGGTGTTTCTGAAACGAAAATGCATCTGAAACCTTATAACACCTAGGAATTTATCATATATATACGTGCTTAATTATCAGGCAGGATTCCCAAGCAAACCACAAGCCCCCTGCTTTCATCAGGACATCAGGATTCAAAGACAGCCTTGTACCTTTTTCTGTTGAAATGATATAAGAATCAATATGCGATATTGATATGATAGTGTATGGATAGGCTTAATTATAAAGATATATAAATAACACTCTTTTCCTTTGCCAGGCCGATTTGTGAACGTGACAAGCGTCCAAGGCCGTCTTCCGATGCCTTCTCATTCGGTTTACGGGATCACCAAGTTCGGTGGAGAGAATTTCTCAGATGCTCTCCGCCTTGAAATGATAAAGTTTGGCGTCAAAGTTTCACTTATAGAGCCCGGGAATTTCGGAGGAGCAACGGGGATGCTGAATGAAGCTTCTGTAAGCTAAACAAGTAAACGTACATTCAATGCGTAAGCATACACAGATAGCAATATGAAAATGGTGGTGGTTGATGTGAAAATCAATTAAAAAAAAAAAAAAAAACGAAGTCTGTATATTTTAAACCAATCATGGGTTGGTGGTTTGAGATAACCGAATTTTCACATGACGTTAATCATTGTAATAAAATGTATTCGGTAGTTACGGATAATGCGGCGTGACTTTGATATTATGTGGGAAGAGGCACCACAGGAGACGAGAGAGACGTACGGTAAGGCTTACCTAGAGACACAGTACACTAACGCCACCAACGTATCGTCTACCAGTGCACCCAGTCTGGACCCTGTCATCGATGCTATGGTTGACGCCCTCCTCAACAGTCGCCCTCAAACTCGATACTTAATTGGGGGCGGTAATGGACTAATTGATGTCTACTGTGTAAGTATTGCGTCGGACGGGCAAAGGGAATTTACTGGGCTTTGTTACAGCGTGATGGACAAGGATGATGTCTCACAGAGTAAATAACACCAAACTTGTATCTAAGTGAGGGAATATACCACTGCTGTATGTAGCTGTACATGTTATCAGACGAAAATTAACAGCCGTTGAAACGAAAACACAGAAATATAGGAAAAGAACAATGGAGGGATGACCGAGTACCGGGAGCAAGAATGATAACAGTTTCCATATCGTAGCTTATCATGAGGAGAAGATTTTTACTATTGTCTCGTCAGATGTCTCTTAATGGAGCACTCGACTTTACAACCTCAGGCGAGGTGTGGTTAGTCTCGGTAGCGAAGACAATGGAGCGTCCTGTGTCGTCCTTGTTGTTTAGGATAGCATGTGGCAAGGATGGCATGAGGCAAGCGTCCTGTGTTTTCTAGGATAGCATGAGGCAAGCGTTCTGTGTTGTCCTTGTTGTCTAGGATAGCATGTGGCAAGGATGGCATGAGGCAAGCGTCCTGTGTTTTCTAGGATAGCATGAGGCAAGCGTTCTGTGTTGTCCTTGTTGTCTAGGATAGCATGTAGTGAGTGTCCTGTGTTGTCCTTTTGTCTAGGATAGCATGCCCCAAGTGTCCAGTTGTCCTTGTTGTCTAGGATAGCATGTAGTGAGTGTCCTGTGTTGTCCTTGTTGTCTAGGATAGCATGTAGTGAGCGTCCTGTGTTGTCCTTTTGTCTAGGATAGCATGCCGCAAGTGTCCTGTGTTGTCCTTGTTGTCTAGGATAGCATGTAGTGAGTGTCCTGTGTTGTCCTTTTGTCTAGGATAGCATGCCGCAAGTGTCCAGTTGTCCTTGTTGTCTAGGATAGCATGTAGTGAGTGTCCTAAATTGTCTAGGATAGCATGTAGTGAGTGTCCTGTGTTGTCCTTTTGTCTAGGATAGCATGCCGCAAGTGTCCTGTGTTGTCCTTGTTGTCTAGGATAGCATGTAGTGAGTGTCCTGTGTTGTCCTTTTGTCTAGGATAGCATGCCGCAAGTGTCCTGTGTTGTCCTTGTTGTCTAGGATAGCATGTAGTGAGTGTCCTGTGTTGTCCTTTTGTCTAGGATAGCATGCCGCAAGTGTCCGGTTGTCCTTGTTGTCTAGGATAGCATGTAGTGAGTGTCCTGTGTTGTCCTTTTGTCTAGGATAGCATGCCCCAAGTGTCCGGTTGTCCTTGTTGTCTAGGATAGCATGTAGTGAGTGTCCTGTGTTGTCTAGGATAGCATGTAGTGAGTGTCCTGTGTTGTCCTTGTTGTCTAGGATAGCATGTAGTGAGTGTCCTGTGTTGTCCTTTTGTCTAGGATAGCATGCGGTAAGCATCCAGTATGATGTTGAGTGAGGTAACCACCAGTTTAAATTAATTAAAATCAACATAACTGTTTTTTTATAACGGACATGTGCATTGAGACCTATGATAGGTAGGCAAATGTGATTAACAAGAGACTTCCTCCATTACAACTTATAGTTGGGGTCAAATGGGAAGGTTATGATCATTTGCAATAAAGAGAAGCATTATGGTTAAATTGGTGACAGATTGTGACATACCTTATTGCACTGAGACTTAAATTACCACATCTTACACCAAGAATATATAAAATCTAATGCATCTTATGACAAAGATAGTTAAATTGTGACAAACCATACACTCAGACAGATCACTTGTGACAAATCATACGCTCAGACAGATCACTTGTGACAAACCATACGCTCAGACAGATCACTTGTGACAAATCATACGCTCAGACAGATCACTTGTGACAAACCATACGCTCAAACAGATCACTTGTGACAAATCATACGCTCAGACAGATCACTTGTGACAAACCATACGCTCAGACAGATCACTTGTGACAAACCATACGCTCAGACAGATCACTTGTGACAAACCATACGCTCAGACAGATCACTTGTGACAAATCATACGCTCAGACAGATCACTTGTGACAAATCATACGCTCAGACAGATCACTTGTGACAAACCATACGCTCAGACAGATCACTTGTGACAAACCATACGCTCAGACAGATCACTTGTGACAAACCATACGCTCAGACAGATCACTTGTGACAAATCATACGCTCAGACAGATCACTTGTGACAAATCATACGCTCAGACAGATCACTTGTGACAAATCATAAGTGAGACAGATAACTTGTGACAAATCATACCACTCAGACAGATAACTTGTGACAAATCATACCAGTCAGACAGATAACTTGTGACAAATCATAAGTGAGACAGATGACTTGTGACAAATCATACCACTCAGACAGATAACTTGTGACAAATCATACCACTCAGACAGATAACTTGTAACAAATCATAAGTGAGATAGATAACTTGTGACAAATCATACCACTCAGACAGATAACTTGTGACAAATCATACCACTCAGACAGATAACTTGTGACAAATCATACCACTCAGACAGATAACTTGTGACAAATCAAAACGTTCAGACTGATAATCGGAGACAAATCATATTGCAACGAGAGTTAAATGTTTTACACATCTTATGGCACATTTTGTTAAATTGTGACAGCTTATTAATGTCAAACTGTTGAGGATGCATTTAATCTAACATGTCTGATTATCATATACTTGCAGGTTCTGGCCAGACTCAGGGACATACTTCCCACATGTGTTATGGATTTTCTCATTGATAAGGTATATTCATCAGGCGTTCCTCTAAAAGGCAATTAAACATACCAGACCAAGAAAAACACCTACTGATGAAATACTCTTCCTGTTCAGGTGTTGGAGGATCAATTCACAGACTTTTTTTCCTGAAGTAGCAGTAGCTAGGTTTTGAAGAGATCTATAACAGACTCTAGTACACAGTGTACAAGTATCTTATACTCATTGTTAACTATTGATGTTATCTCACACGAGTTTGACTGTAGAAATAAGACATTAAACAATAAAATATATTGGAAACTGCTTCTTTATTTCAACAAAAAATCACAACAGCTAAAACAAGACAAATGAAATTGTCCTAGATCAGGACTGTATAAGATTGGTCCCAGATCAGGACTGTACATAAGACTGGTGACCATCCGATGAGATTTCCAACTCCTGAGGAGTGGCAGATAAAACCAGCTCTTAAAACACAACCTACTGATCTATAGTAACACAAGTCTCCTTGCAGGCTCACAACTACAGTATATTTGTCACGTAAATCAAAGAATTGATCAGAAACTTAAGGGCTAAGATACACAGGTCTATATACCTCAACTCTACCCCAGCTGTTGTAACAGCTAGGTTACACAGACCCCAACTCTACTCCAGCTGTTGTAACAGGTAGGATACCCAGACCCCAACTCTAATCCAGCTGTTGTAACAGCTAGGATACACAGATCCCAACTCTACCCCAGCTGTTGTAACAGCTAGGATACACAGACCCCAACTCTACCCCAGCTGTTGTAACAGCAAGGATACCCGGACTCCAACTCTACCCCAGGTGTTGTAACAGCTAGGATACACAGACCCCAACTCTACCCCAGGTGTTGTAACAGCAAGGATACATGGACCCCAACTCTACCCGATCTGTTGTAACAGCAAGGATACACGGACCCCAACTCTACCCCAGCTGTTGTAACAGCAAGGATACACGGACTCCAACTCTACCCCAGGTGTTGTAACAGCAAGGATACACGGACTCCAACTCTACCCCAGGTGTTGTAACAGCAAGGATACATGGACCCCAACTCTACCCCAGCTGTTGTAACAGCATGGATACATGGACCCCAACTCTACCCCAGCTGTTGTAACAGCAAGGATACATGGACCCCAACTCTACACGATCTGTTGTAACAGCAAGGATACACAGCCCCCAACTCTACCCGAGCTGTTGTAACAGCAAGGATACATGGACTCCAACACTACCCCAGCTGTTGTAACAGCAAGGATACACAGCCCCCAACTCTACCCGAGCTGTTGTAACAGCAAGGATACATGGACTCCAACACTACCCCAGGTGTTGTAACAGCAAGGATACCCGGACTCCAACACTACCCCAGGTGTTGTAACAGCAAGGATACCCGGACTCCAACTCTACCCCAGGTGTTGTAACAGCTAGGATACACAGACCCCAACTCTACCCCAGCTGTTGTAACAGCAAGGATACACGGACTCCAACTCTACCCCAGGTGTTGTAACAGCAAGGATACACGGACTCCAACTCTACCCCAGCTGTTGTAACAGCTAGGATACACAGACCCCAACTCTACCCCAGGTGTTGTAACAGCAAGGATACACGGACTCCAACTCTACCCCAGGTGTTGTAACAGCAAGGATACACGGACTCCAACTCTACCCCAGGTGTTGTAACAGCTAGGATACACAGATCCCAACTCTACCCCAGCTGTTGTAACAGCTAGGATACACAGACCCCAACTCTACTCCAGCTGTTGTAACAGCTAGGATACACAGACGCCAACCCTATCCCAGCTGTTGTAACAGCTAGGATATACATAGTTTCATATTACCCAACTGTACCAGCTTTCATAATGATGAGGATACATTTAGTTTCATATTACTAATTCTACCAACTTTTAAACTATCCTTACCAATTTGTCTAGAAAAGTTTGAATGATAACATCAGTATGTATCCAAAAAAATAGCTGTTTCCTCGGACAGCAATAGAACATAGGATAAACTGACTAATTAGAAACACTGTTGATTTGTTTGCTTACAAATAAAATGTCACAAAAGTCAAACCCAATTTCTAATCATCTACTTAATCAAACAACACATCACTGATGACCATTAAAGTAACACATTTTTGTCATTATATCAATTTCTATCGATTAAATCCACCATACCACTGAACACCTGTGTATGGTCAGACAGGTGTACAGTTGCCAGTAATTGTGTTGGTGCAGTACTATAGTGGTGTTAAAAGTTTGCCTTCATAACTCATATATCACAACCATCTATCAATACACAACTATAGCTTTCACTTTTCAAGGAAAATTGAGAAACAAAATAAGAAATAAAATGTGCTGATCTTTTTTTTTCTGTAACACACTGCAAATCTGGCATTTTTGTTAGGATCACTGCTCCTGTACTTAAAAAATTCACTAAACACTTTGAGCAGATAAAAAGTGTTACAAGAACAAGTACAATATATCATTAGTGTTTATCACCATGACGACTGGTCTATACCTACATGTATCCTACAAGATTATGACCATTTAATAACAAATACAATATATTGATGTTTGACCTGACAGGACACACAAGCAACTGTTACCTGTTAACTTAGTTCTGTAACTTTTTTCTCGTAACTTTCATTAAAATTGCCTCAGTAATTAAACCAGATTTTTTTTCTGACTTTTTTGAAGACTTAAAAAAAATTGTAATATTATGCCTTAAAATTACAATGCATGATTTTGAAATTCAAATTCGCAAGAGAGCTTGATGCAAAAGACAAGCAGCATGTAATGACGATGAATTCACAGAGCACTTTCCTCCGTAAGGTGTAGGGAACTTAGGTGTTTAATGGATAAATGAACACATGAAGCCATCTGTGTATATAATCAACAGTATCTTTGCTCTATTTTAAATGAATCCATAGGGAAGATATAAATCTGTAGAGACTTGAGAGATGAAACAGATGCAGTGTATATTGCTTTATACTTCTGTAGCAAATATCAAAGGTAAATACAATAGATTTGATTGCATATGTATGCGTAGTTAACATATCTTCTCTGATATAGGGTATCACAATGGAAGGCACACACAATTGATATTAACACAGCATACCCGCCTGTTAAGGACCAGACTTCAACAACAATGAATGATCTGTCACTATCCTACATAGATAAACAGGAAGGTATCAAACATATTGCAACACATTTCTGGTTACCAGAAAAAACCCCACATAAAAACAAAGTAAAAACTTCTGGTAGCAATATGCAAATTCTGAGCTCACAAAAAAGCACTTACAGCCTTGGTCACTTTAAATAAATCTGACATGTAAAAAAACAACATACACACAAAATAAAAAAAAAAAAAAAAATATCTGTTAGATGCATAGACCTTGCCTGTCAGTCTTATACTCAATACCTGTATTTTAAATAAGCAAAAGTTGCAATTGACTTTCTTACCAAAAGTAGAAACAACTGATATTTCTAAGTTGTTATTTCTATAACTACGTTGATCACAGTAATTATTCAGACAATATACCAATCTAAACCTCACAAAACTACACATAAAACCAAGGTGCATCATTTGCATATGAATTGACAATTTACTGTTGATTTTGTTGCGATGAAATAATACTGATATCTTATGTACATAATTAACTTATCAAATATGTCTTCCTTTGCAGCTATGCTCTTGATGAATATTTAAATGTCTGCAGGCCAACTGACCAGTATATTACAAGCTTGTGTTCCCAATAGTTACCATTGTATTGGACAGATTGCCACTGTCATGCCTGCACTTGGAATGTAGTTACATGAATGTCTTACAATGACAATTATATAGAGTTGATTCAGACAATAACTAGCTATACTGTCATCAGTAATTAGCAGCTAACAGAGCTGGAGGATGAACTTGTAATTAGGGGCACCTTATATTGAGAAACAGAGAAGGGAAGTAACTCTTACTCACGAGGGACAAGTTATCAGTGTTTTTGAATGAATAGGAAAGGTTAACTAATATAGGACACAAATAACCCATGCCAGGTCCTACATATAAAAGAATGGAAATGTATTGAAACAGTATTTTCTCTTCAGTACAATGTAATGTTAATGAATTTCTAACATTTAGACATTTGAACTCTTATACTATAAATAGTATCAAAGTGAAACAAATGGTAAGAAAACCTACTATTGTGTATCTGGTAAGAAAACCTACTATTGTGTATCTAGTAAGAAAACCTACTATTGTGGATCTTGTTTATAGGTGCTTGACTGTACTTTTCAAATTCAAATGTATACATAATGATGACAAATATTACAAATATCAATAAAATTATTTGTTAAAAAATCTTTCAACTGGGTCAAAATTCCCTTTCATTGGATTTACCTGGTTTGAAACCATCAAATCCAAAAACAAAATTTAATGTATTTTGGACACAAATCAGTATAAAAAAATTATCGTGATCTATTTTCTGAGATTATTCCTCCTGATCAAGAATAAGATCATACCAGTAAAATCTATCGACTTGTAATTCATCATTCACTTATATAAAATAAACAGAAAATTATAAATAAATCTGAGAATTGAAATAGTACAACATACCAGTAACCAAGACAACAGTAGGTCCCGCTACAACAATGTCAAGGGTTAAATAGCAAGCTACTTTACAAATAACATTAATACAATTTACACCATAAGTTACTATAGGGAATATAAATTACACAAAAACAAAAAAAAATCTTCGAAAAAATCAAAGCACTTCCAAAGTCATAAGTAAATTCCTTATTGAACAATACCACATTATTTTCAACATCTCAGGGAAAGGTGTAGCTATGTTTAGGAAGCCATGAAGGCCAGGGTTAGTGATAAACTGACTAGATAACTGTCTATATAAATGCATTACAGCTATGGTATCTGACTAGGGTTAAACACAGAGATTACCACTATTATGATTATGACTACTATGGATTAAGGCCTCGATACAGCAAGACATTTTACTATTCTGTAATGTCTCCATTTCTATGGTTACAATCAACATGAATTTCCCTGATAAACATTTCCAAGATTCAAGAACAACTTCTATTTTTTCGAGTTTGAATATTTATCATCTAACATATATATATATATCATAGGAATATTCATCCTAGTAACATTACGATGGGTCTCACAGCTATCATTGAACATTAACTCTCCTAACATCATTATTTCATGTGAATTCGGATTTACTTACAGTATACCAATTCTACAGTTATACAGGATAATATCTTTAAATATGAATCTTGCACAAGAAGATAATTTAAAATGTCTAACAGGACGTACACAGGATTACCGTTTGTCTTCTATACCCCTGTAGATTTTGATATACACTATAATCACTACACAATATATTTATCATTACACCTCACACCTTTACAGTCACATGGAATGATATGCTTTTAAAATTTCCAGACCGATACTACTTGTGTGGAACATTGGCACCAGGTATGTGTTACCTTCTGTGTTATACACATTCATAGTTGTGCTTTTAATGCATGTTGGTTTGAGACAAAATTCCAAATAAACATGACTTACCTCCCTTACTTTGCTGATAAACCCAAAGTCATAATATTGGGATAGAAAAATAAACCACTGACAAGCTGATTATACTTACTTTTCATATAATTTATACTAATTTTTAATATATGATGTCACTTGATATGAGCAAATATGAATCACAGACTTTGTAAATACTTAGCTACAGTAGCTCTTGTTTACAATGAAAAACTAGCATCTTTTTAATCATGATAAATAACATTATGTTTATATGTACAAAAATGAAAGTCTCGTTCAACAAAAGTCTTCAGGGGTAAAAGCTCATCTGATATATATAGCATATGATGAGTATGAAATATCGTACAGGCATAGCAGAAAATTAAAACAATGATAATTGGGATACTAACGTTTCAGTTTTGGATTTAAAAATCTTTATCCTACTTTGAATCTTCTTTGCCCAAATTTCTCCAGACCTGATCACTCTTAACAGGTCCAAAAAAAAGTAGAAAAAAGTTCATACAAGACAAGACATTGTTCATGTCATCATTCACCATTCTGATGTACCAGGTTATGGGTTTGTACCAAGTGAATACATGTAGTTTGTACCTGGTTACAAATTGAACCAGGAAACTGGTTTGTAGCAGGTTACAGTTTCTCGTTTCCTTCCTATGTCTTATATGTGTAAAGATGAACCATGACATCCCTGTATGTAGATAGCACTTGATTTGTGACCAGTTTCTTGGTTCCCTCCTGTGTCTGATATGTGTAAAGATGATCTATGATTTGTGTATGTAGATAACATTGGTACCCTCCTGTGTCTGAAATAAAAATAACATCACAGTCTACAATATATTTCATTTTTCATCTTTAGAAATTTGAATAAGAAAAATACAAAACAGTAAAATCTATTTATCAGCAATGAAGCCAACCACAAAGACAAACAAAACCTAGCAATGTACGGTAAAACTGGATATATCGCACATCATCCTGACAGATTAGAGTACTGAGGACTCACTAGATCAGATATGTACAACAAATCTAAACTAGAGTTCTGCAGAGGCAAACAACCTCTTCTCATTTATTCTATCCTGATCATGGCGTTTATTTTATGTTTATTGGGTTTATCACCCAATGAACAGCCAAGGTCATTTTGAGGTCATTTTGAGGTGGGGGTCACCTTGGTGGGTGGCTACTTAACAGAACAGCATACAGAAGGCCTATCAAATGCCATCCAGAATACAAATGTAATGTCATGATCAAGAAAACAACCACATCAACACAGACCAATTTATTTCTCAGCTTCCCAAGAAACACAAACTGCTAGTGGAAGGGAGCATTGAACTACAAACTTGTGATCTTTGCCCGACGTTACACTACCAACACAAACTTGTGATCTTTGCCCGACGTTATACTACCAACACAAACTTGTGATCTTTGCCCGACGTTACACTACCAACACAAACTTGTGATCTTTGCCAGACGTTACACTACCAACACAAACTTGTGATCTTTGCCCGACGTTACACTACCAACACTCTACAGACTGGACTGTCGTACACTCGCCTAAGAATGGACTACTGACTGGAGAACATCTATTTGTCATACTTAAAATGAAGACATTTTGGACAGACTGTTGGAGAATCCTGGTTAATCATACTTACAAAAGGACTTCAGGACAGACTCTTTGAGAATTCTTGTTTGTCATACCTACAACAGGACTTGAGGACAGACTGCTGGAGAATTCTGGGTTGTCATACTTACAACAGGACACCAGGACAGGCTGCTGGAGAATTCTTGTTTGTCATACTTACAACAGGACTTGAGGACAGACTGCTGGAGAATTCGGGTTTGTCATACTTACAACAGGACTTGAGGACAGACTGCTGGAGAATTCGGGTTTGTCATACTTCCAACAGGACTTAAGGACAGACTGCTGGAGAATTCGGGTTTGTCATACTTACAACAGGACTTGAGGACAGACTGCTGGAGAATTCGTGTTTGTCATACTTACAACAGGACTTCAGGACAGACTGCTGGAGAATTCGGATTTGTCATACTTACAACAGGACTTCAGGACAGACTGCTGGAGAATTCGGGTTTGTCATACTTAAAACAGGACTTCAGGACAGACTGCTGGAGAATTCGGGTTTGTCATACTTACATCAGGAATTCAAGACAGACTGCTGGAGAATTCTATATTGTACTTACCACAATAACTTCAAGACGGACTGCTGGAGAATTCCAGTTTTCCACACACATCATCAGATATGCTTCCGCCTTGTTCAACCTCCTGCAGCTGTGAAAATAGAGTAAAGATACACTACATAAACTTGATCAATTAAATAATGTTTAGTTTTCCCTGTAAAGTCACAACTGGTACTTGATATCAGGGTTGGCCGATGTTATGTGGTTTCAATTTTAATATAGGGATATTCTACTAAAGCACTGACCTTGTCATGTCACATTAATTAAAGAAGTCAATGGGGCTTTACAGTCATCTAACTATAAAGATATATATATCATACATACAGTAGTTATACAGAAGTCATAGAAAAAGTTATGAAGTGATTAAAACAGCTTGGAATATTTAAGTAGTACAGGTTAAAAACACTATTCATTTCAGTTTCATATATTCCCATAAAAATTTCAGCTCAATTTCACCAGTGGAAACTTGAGAAATTTAATATATTTTTTCAAAATGGCAGCCACAGTTGCAATATTGAAAAATAACAATACTTGGTCAGGACAATTTCAGTATCATTTCAGGGAAGTTTCAGCTCAATCCCACTTGTGGAACTTGAGAGGAAATTTAAAATATAAAAGGTTTATACACAACAGGCAAAACACAATGGCTTAGATGATTGTGAGTTAGAGAGTTATGTACCTGCATGTGATCAGTATGGAGACTGTGCGTTTAAGAGTAACTTACCTGCATGAGATCTGTGAGTTGACTCAATGCGAGTTTGAGAGTAACTTACCTGCTTCAGATCTGTAAGGTGACTCAATGCTTGTTTGAGAGTAATTCACCTGCATGAGATCTGTGAGTCAACTCAATGCGAGTTTCAGAAAAACTTACCTGCTTCATATCTGTGAGCTGACTCAATGCTTGTTTGAGAGTAATTTACCTGCATGAGATCTGTGAGTTGACTCAATGCTTGTTTGAGAGTAATTTACCTGCATGAGATCTGTGAGCTGACTCAATGCTTGTTTAAGAGTAATTTACCTGCATGAGATCTGTGAGTTGACTCAATGCTTGTTTGAGAGTAATTTACCTGCATGAGATCTGTGAGCTGTCTCAATGCTTGTTTGAGAGTAATTTACCTGCATGAGATCTGTGAGCTGTCTCAATGCTTGTTTGAGAGTAATTCACCTGCATGAGATCTGTGAGTCAACTCAATGCGAGTTTCAGAAAAACTTACCTGCTTCATATCTGTGAGCTGACTCAATGCTTGTTTGAGAGTAATTTACCTGCATGAGATCTGTGAGTTGACTCAATGCTTGTTTGAGAGTAATTTACCTGCATGAGATCTGTGAGCTGACTCAATGCTTGTTTGAGAGTAATTTACCTGCATGAGATCTGTGAGTTGACTCAATGCTTGTTTGAGAGTAATTTACCTGCATGAGATCTGTGAGCTGTCTCAATGCTTGTTTGAGAGTAATTTACCTGCATGAGATCTGTGAGTTGACTCAATGCGAGTTTCAGAGTTGCAAGTTCCTCCATGATCTGCCCATAAGTGTTCACATCAATAACAACCACCTCCTTGCCATCCATCTGCATGGTTTTCACATCCTGAAGGCTTGGATACATTGCCAGGGATGGCTCTGAGTCAAAATGTCTGTAATGACAAAGACACACATAATATCTAGTCAGGTGTCAATAGTAAACAGCAATCTGTGTGTCTAGTCAGGTGTCAATAGTAAACAGTAATCTGTGTGTCTAGTCAGGTGTCAACAGTAAACAGTAGTTTGTGTGTCTAGTCTGGTGTCAACAGTAAACAGTAGTCTGTGTGTCTAGTCAGGTGTCAACAGTAAACAGTAATCTGTGTGTCTAGTCAGGTGTCAATAGTAAACAGTAATCTGTGTGTCTAGTCAGGTGTCAATAGTAAACAGTACTCTGTGTGTCTAGTCAGGTGTCAACAGTAAACAGTAATCTGTGTGTCTAGTCTGGTGTCAACAGTAAACAGTAATCTGTGTGTCTAGTCTGGTGTCAATAGTAAACAGTAGTCTGTGTGTCTAGTCAGGTGTCAATAGTAAACAGTAGTCTGTGTGTCTAGTCAGGTGTCAACAGTAAACAGTAGTTTGTGTGTCTAGTCATGTGTCAACAGTAAACAGTAGTCTGTGTGTCTAGTCAGGTGTCAACAGTAAACGGTAATCTGTGTGTCTAGTCTGGTGTCAATAGTAAACAGTAGTCTGTGTGTCTAGTCAGGTGTCAACAGTAAACAGTAATCTGTGTGTCTAGTCAGGTGTCAATAGTAATCAGTAATCGGTGTGTCTAGTCTGGTGTCAACAGTAAACAGTAATCTATGTGTCTAGTCTGGTGTCAATAGTAAACAGTAATCTGTGTGTCTAGTCTGGTGTCAATAGTAAACAGTAATCTGTGTGTCTAGTCAGGTGTCAACAGTAAACAGTAATCTGTGTGTCTAGTCTGGTGTCAATAGTAAACAGTAGTCTGTGTGTCTAGTCAGGTGTCAACAGTAAACAGTAATCTGTGTGTCTAGTCTGGTGTCAACAGTAAACAGTAATCTATGTGTCTAGTCAGGTGTCAACAGTAAACAGTAGTCTGTGTGTCTAGTCAGGTGTCAATAGTAAACAGTACTCTGTGTGTCTAGTCTGGTGTCAACAGTAAACAGTAATCTGTGTGTCTAGTCTGGTGTCAACAGTAAACAGTAATCTGTGTGTCTAGTCTGGTGTCAATAGTAAACAGTAGTCTGTGTGTCTAGTCAGGTGTCAATAGTAAACAGTAGTCTGTGTGTCTAGTCTGGTGTCAATAGTAAACAGTAGTTTGTGTGTCTAGTCAGGTGTCAACAGTAAACAGTAGTCTGTGTGTCTAGTCAGGTGTCAACAGTAAACAGTAATCTGTGTGTCTAGTCTGGTGTCAATAGTAAACAGTAGTCTGTGTGTCTAGTCAGGTGTCAACAGTAAACAGTAATCTGTGTGTCTAGTCAGGTGTCAATAGTAATCAGTAATCGGTGTGTCTAGTCTGGTGTCAACAGTAAACTGTAATCTATGTGTCTAGTCTGGTGTCAATAGTAAACAGTAATCTGTGTGTCTAGTCAGGTGTCAACAGTAAACAGTAATCTGTGTGTCTAGTCTGGTGTCAATAGTAAACAGTAGTCTGTGTGTCTAGTCAGGTGTCAACAGTAAACAGTAATCTGTGTGTCTAGTCTGGTGTCAACAGTAAACAGTAATCTATGTGTCTAGTCAGGTGTCAACAGTAAACAGTAGTCTGTGTGTCTAGTCAGGTGTCAATAGTAAACAGTACTCTGTGTGTCTAGTCTGGTGTCAACAGTAAACAGTAATCTGTGTGTCTAGTCTGGTGTCAACAGTAAACAGTAATCTGTGTGTCTAGTCTGGTGTCAATAGTAAACAGTAGTCTGTGTGTCTAGTCAGGTGTCAATAGTAAACAGTAATCTGTGTGTCTAGTCTGGTGTCAATAGTAAACAGTAATCTGTGTGTCTAGTCTGGTGTCAATAGTAAACAGTAATCTGTGTGTCTAGTCAGGTGTCAACAGTAAACAGTAATCTGTGTGTCTAGTCTGGTGTCAATAGTAAACAGTAGTCTGTGTGTCTAGTCAGGTGTCAACAGTAAACAGTAATCTGTGTGTCTAGTCTGGTGTCAACAGTAAACAGTAATCTATGTGTCTAGTCAGGTGTCAACAGTAAACAGTAGTCTGTGTGTCTAGTCAGGTGTCAATAGTAAACAGTACTCTGTGTGTCTAGTCTGGTGTCAACAGTAAACAGTAATCTGTGTGTCTAGTCTGGTGTCAACAGTAAACAGTAATCTGTGTGTCTAGTCTGGTGTCAATAGTAAACAGTAGTCTGTGTGTCTTGTCAGGTGTCAATAGTAAACAGTAATCTGTGTGTCTAGTCTGGTGTCAATAGTAAAGAGTAGTCTGTGTGTCTAGTCAGGTGTCAACAGTAAACAGTAATCTGTGTGTCTAGTCAGGTGTCAATAGTAATCAGTAATTGGTGTGACTAGTCTGGTGTCAACAGTAAACAGTAATCTATGTGTCTAGTCTGGTGTCAATAGTAAACAGTAATCTGTGTGTCTCGTCTGGTGTCAATAGTAAACAGTAATCTATGTGTCTAGTCAGGTGTCAACAGTAAACAGTAGTCTGTGTGTCTAGTCAGGTGTCAACAGTAAACAGTAATCTGTGTGTCTAGTCAGGTGTCAACAGTAAACAGTAGTCTGTGTGTCTAGTCTGGTGTCAATAGTAAACAGTAGTCTGTGTGTCTACACAGGTGTCAATAATGATATACAGCAGACGGGTGTCAAAAGTTTGCAGTAGTCTGTGTGTCTACACAGGTGTCAATAATGATATACAGCAGAAGGGTGTCAAAAGTTTACAGTAGTCTGTGTGTCTACACAGGTGTCAATAATGATATACAGCAGATGGGTGTCAAAAGTTCACAGTAGTCTGTGTGTCTACACAGGTGTTATCAGTAAACATTAGTCTGTTTGTCTAGACAGGTGTTATCAGTAAACATTAGTCTGTTTGTCTAGACAGGTGTCATTTGTATACAGAAGTATGTATGACTAGATAGGTGTCAAAATGTACAGAAATATTTGTATCTAGACAGGTGTCATCAGTATAGAGAGATATTGAACATGAAACACCAATCACTACATATATAGTCTAGGACATGCATTCTTCCTCAAGGCCGAGAAATTTAAACAAACCATGCTTAATGAAACAAATTATTTAATTGTATGTTTCTCTAAAATATAACATTTTTCAACATCATATCACCATCCATAGATCTATAATATAACACAAACATGGCAGGTGTTTGTAAGTTATAAGACAGGTATAATTTGTAAACATTAAGAATTGGCTCTGTAGTAACATCAACAAAATAATACAACAGTCATTTTATAAATGATCACTTACAAACATTTCTACAACAAGTACATTTATATTTATGTGACATTTTTATTCTGACAATGAATATTAAATTCTGACCGTTATACACATGCTGGCAATCAATCAATGTCATCAACCATACCTGGATAATGTTTTGTATCAGCATCTGATGTAGACAAAGACAATAGGAATATCTGATAGTAGAGCTGATCCACTTTACATCATTTTGTTTGGTAGTAAAGCTGTTTCACTTTATAACATATCTTTTTTAGTACAAGGGATATTTCATTTCATATCATTTTGGTTTCACTTTACATCACATCTATTTAGTAGTAGAGCTGTTTCACTTCACATCACATCTATTTAGTAGTAGAGCTGTTTCACTTTACATCACATCTATTTAGTAGTACAGCTGTTTCACTTTACATCACATCTATTTAGTAGTACAGCTGTTTCACTTTACATCACATCTATTTAGTAGTACAGCTGTTTCACTTTACATCACATCTATTTAGTAGTAGAGCTGTTTCACTTTACATCACATCTATTTAGTAGTAGAGCTGTTTCACTTTACATCACATCTATTTAGTAGTACAGCTGTTTCACTTTACATCACATCTATTTAGTAGTAGAGCTGTTTCACTTTACATCACATCTATTTAGTAGTACAGCTGTTTCACTTTACATCACATCTATTTAGTAGTAGAGCTGTTTCATTTTACATCATATCTGTTTAGTAGTACAGCTGTTTCACTTTACATCACTTCTATTTAGTAGTAGAGCTGTTTCACTTTACAATCATATCTATTTAGTAGTAGAGCTGTTTCACTTTACATCATATCTATTTAGTAGTAGAACTGTTTCACTTTACATCATATCTATTTAGTAGTAGAACTGTTTCACTTTACAGTCATATCTATTTAGTAGTAGAACTGTTTCACTTTACAGTCATATCTATTTAGTAGTAGGACTGTTTCACTTTACAGTCATATCTATTTAGTAGTAGAACTGTTTCACTTTACAGTCATATCTATTTAGTAGTAGAACTGTTTCACTTTACAGTCATATCTATTTAGTAGTAGGACTGTTTCACTTTACATCATATCTATTTAGTAGTAGAGCTGTTTCACTTTACATCACATCTATTTAGTAGTAGAGCTGTTTCACTTTACATCATATCTATTTAGTAGTAGAGCTGTTTCACTTTACATCATATCTGTTTAGTAGTAGAGCTGTTTCACTTTACATCATATCTGTTTAGTAGTACAGCTATTTCACTTTACATCATATCTGTTTAGTAGTAGAGCTGTTTCATTTTACATCATATCTGTTTAGTAGTACAGCTGTTTCACTTTACATCATATCTATTTAGTAGTACAGCTGTTTCACTTTACATCATATCTATTTAGTAGTAGGACTGTTTCACTTTACATCACATCTATTTAGTAGTAGAACTGTTTCACTTTACAACATATCTATTTAGTAGTAGAACTGTTTCACTTTACAGTCATATCTATTTAGTAGTAGAACTGTTTCACTTTACAGTCATATCTATTTAGTAGTAGAACTGTTTCACTTTACAGTCATATCTATTTAGTAGTAGGACTGTTTCACTTTACATCATATCTATTTAGTAGTAGAGCTGTTTCACTTTACATCACATCTATTTAGTAGTAGAGCTGTTTCACTTTACATCATATCTATTTAGTAGTAGAGCTGTTTCACTTTACATCATATCTGTTTAGTAGTAGA